CGGAGACATCCAATGGCTCTCGCAGCCATCCAAGGTCTGATTGAATGAATGAGAGAACGAACAGACGGTTTTTCGTCGTTTTGAGTGACTTTGAGCGAGAAAAAAAGAGTCAATGGGCCTCTGAGAGGTTCCTGTGATTCATTCACAGCGAAATATCACTCCAAAAGTCGCTGGAAAACAAGTGGGTCAGCTCTGTAGTACGTATAAGCGGGTCAAACGCGTAAGTGGGTCAGCCCTGTACTGACCCACTTACGCGGTCCGGACTGTATTGGTGAGTTGGCCGACCTTGTCTGTGGTCAGCCGCGGCGGCCGTTGCGAGGCTCTTGTGCTGCAATGTGCTGCTCTTGTTCTGCCTTTAGCGCCGCTGCTTGTCGCCCTTGCGGGCAGACCCGTCACGCGACCGAACGTTCGTGTAGGCCCGGACCACTGAACGCACAATTGTCACAGAGAGAGAGGGAGGGGGAGGGGGGAAAGAAGGAATGCATGTGTGGCGTGTGAATGAATGATAGATATTCAGCAGGCCTCCTTATTACGTGCGCCGATGGTGTTTTGGGCGACGTCACGTTCGGTCTGGTCCCTGTTAGCGTCGCAATCGCGGGCCAGATGAAGGCACTGCACCCCGCGTGCAGCGCACACACACACATACACACATACACACCCGCACCGGCCCACGCGTATGCAAATAGCACGCGACGCGCGCGAGAGAGACTCCTCCTCTGACTCACCCACCCCACCCACCGACCCACCTGCAGTTGATGTGAAGGCCCTCTGGGTCTGCGCCTTTCTTGCGCTTCTTGCAGGCGCCGCACGGCTTGAGCGTCGAGAATGCGTCGTCACTGAGGTGGACGCTCGCGACGCCCCTGACACCCCGGCTGCCCCCCTGCACCAGCGGCTGCTTCATGTTGCGCGTGCAGCCCCCCTGCACACACAGACACAGACGCAGACAGGGAGACATATGTAGGCGGATGTCCCACAAACATTCATTCTCTGGTGCATCCATCTGTAGGTTGGGTGACGGACGGGGCGGTGGTCTGCGTTGTAGGCGGCCGAGTGGACGCGACGGAGCCGCCGGACTGAGAGGGGATGATTCTTGTTGCCACCCGACACGGCGTCAGCCACACGCCTGACCGTTCCAAATTCGTTCCACAGACAGACAGCCATGTCGACTCGATTGTGTGTAGGCGAGTCAGTCAGTCAGTCGCTCACTCGCTAAGCACACAGATGGCAATCACCATGTGCTGCGCCAGATCTGCGTACCTACGATGTCAGCGATGGTCAATGAGCTGTCCAGATGAGCAAGGTGGTGGCCTCATAGACACTTCCAATGGGAAAGCAAAGCATGCTGCATGTGCACGGTATCCTTGGCACAGGGAGCGATCGGTCATGCGAGCTTAGAGGGAAGAAAATTCACATCGGATGAATGGCTGAAGGCATGGCAGCGGACAGATCTACGAAGATCTACGCACGCATTTCCGCTCTTTTGTCCATCCATCTCTGGGCAGGTCGTTCATTGCATTCCGTGTCTGTCAGTCCACGGTGGGGAGACATACATGGACATCGCTAGCGCCTGAAATCTGTATACACGAAGCTGATAACAACGATAAAACACTAAAGTGGTCACGGAAGATACTCATCGAGCAGGCCACAAGAGGACGGAAAATCAATTCCTCTTCGAGCGGCTGAAGAACTCTTGAAGAAAGCGGCGAAACAATCCCTTTGCACCTCGCTGCGGGGTACCAGTCTACATAACACGAAGCAAGCATCGTTTCCTCCGCCTTCCCCGCCTCCACATCACTGACTGCCCTTACTTACCGGATCAGCGCTGATCTCCTCTAGCGCTCGCCCAGCAGGAAGCGCAAAGACGTATTCCTGGAACAGCAGCCGGTCCTTGATGTCCTCGCGTGTAGTCGGGTCCCTGGGCCATTGCGGCGTGATCGAGCCGCCTTGTGGGATGGCCCATACGATGCGCCAGGTCTTCTTGCCATCCCCGATCGCTGAGCTTGTCCTCAAGTTGGCGATCAACGATTGATCGAATCCACTGGCTGAGTGCTCGCTGTTGGCGGTGACCTTAATGAGGTAGATAACGTCTTTAGCGCTGTCGATGTACAGCGAGTCGATGACTGGCCAGTTCTTGGACTCGGGCACCCAGAAGCCAGGCTCGTGCACGTTGGCATAGGGCCTCTTCTGGTCTCTGCTGCGAGTAAACAGACGGGGCTCACGTTCGTGCTGGGTGGTGTCCAGCGAGACTCGGATCACACCCCTAAGCTTGTTCTGCGGCGTCTGCATCCTTGACGCTCGAGTGCTGTTGCTCACACGTTTCATATGGTGGTTGAGCGGCTCCAGACTTATCGGGCGCCTGGTCTTTGCCAGAAATTCATTAACGAGGCCCTCAAACAGCCGTTCTTTGTCGATGATCGTTCTCGGGCGATGGATGAGGTCGAGCTCATCTTCCAGCTCCTGCTTGGTCAGCTTTCGGATGAACTCGCCGAGGATATAAGACGAGCGCCAGCCGACCTTCCCAAAGGTGTAGAGGCCGTTGGTACCGGGATCGAGCGACATGAGAACGGTCTCAGGGAATTTGTTAGCCACGGACCCCTTGGGGCTTCTCCCCTCCATCGTCGAGCGTCCTCATACTTCAGAAAGGCAACGGCGAGTTTCATATCCTTCTTGAGCGAAGAGAGAGGCCTAAAGTAATCGCGAATGATGCCACCCGCATAGGGACGCTTGTCATTCAGCTGGTCGAGCCACTCGGTTCCCTCAAGGGCTGCAGCAACCTCCTCCTCAGCCCAGGTGGGCATGACTAGATCGAGTGTGAGCCTTTTCTTGAACTGGTTGTAGTTATCATGGCGCGCCGATGCAGCCAGCAAGACGCTGCCCGGCCACAAATCATGCAGGGCACCTTCAAAGCCTGCACACACACACACACAAGGCATGCAGCCCCTCTCCCTCACGCCCTGCTAACCGTCGATCAGCAGCCAGTCGCGTTGTAATGAGTCCAGCGGCTGCGTCTCTTGTAACTGGAACAACGTCTCTAGCGGGTCGCAAACTCTCACAAAGCCGTCCTTCCACAGCTCATACACCTTCCGGTCGACATTCGATGACCTGAATGAAAACCAGGAGGAGCGAACAGGTAACATCACGTCTGGCCGCCAGCAAGTCGTTGCTGACTTACCCACAGGAGTTGTTCACGAACCAGATCTTGAAGTTCTCGCCTCGGTGCATCTCGCCTTTCAGCACGGCCAAGAAGAAGAGAAGAAACCAAGACAAGCCGACGCCCGATGAGCCACGCAGCAGAACGCGAAAGCCCTCCGGAAATGAAGACATCTTCTTGTTGAATTTCTTAAACACGTCCACAATGATCTTGGCGATGTCCACATAGCCCTCGCGGACCAGCAACTTCTGACCCCCCGTGAGAGGTATCTTGTTTGGTGCTGCCTTGAGGCCGATGGGATCCACTGACTCCCAGTATCGCTTCAATATGTCTGGACGCGTGAAGAAACCCCTCAATCTGCCCTTCGGCATCGCTTTGGCCGTCATGGCTTCGGCGAAGGCCTGCAAGTCAGACAGACAGACAGACAGACGAATGAATGCACAAAAATGCACTTATCACGCCCGGCTGTGCCAATCACGTACGTACCTCCTCCTCTGGCTCCTCTGCGTGAAGGGCAGTCGCCCTCTGCACGGGGCGATGAGTCGGGCGTTCCTGGCGAGCCGCCACAGGGGCAATCTGAAAGGTGAGACGAGCCGATTGGCGCACGCCAGCCACCCCATGAGCGAAGGCAAGACACGCAGTCAGGAGAAGGGAAAGCGCAGATGCCATAGCGGTGACCTGTGAATGAATGCAGAGAAAGCGCATAACACGCGCAAGTGAGGTGTCATTCATCGACGCGCAGATCTCCTCACCATCATAGCAAGTGGCAACTCCACCTCCGCGAGCTCAAAGCTCGCAGAGAGGAAGGACCATTGAATCGATGGCATTTGTTTGGATGTGAGGACGGTGAGCCGGCCAGCACTGCCGATCATGCATTGCATCTCACACACACGTCGAGTCACCCACACCCAGCCATCCACGGGTGGGGCCATCACTACAGCCACCCCTCCCTCCCTCCGACGCCCTCCCCTCTGCTTGTCTATCAGCTCTCTGTCCGTCCGTCCGTCCGTCAGCTCACTCGGTCACTCAGTCAGCCCCTCCCTCCCCCAATCAGTCAGTCAGTCCGTGTGTGTGGTATCAGCTATTGCTCCCCCATCACGCTGCCGCCATCTGCGCCCTCCGCCGTCTGCTTGCGACGCCGCCTCACCGCCCGTCTGTCGTCGGCCGCCATGTCACCCTCTCCGCCATCGAGGCAAGTCGATGCCGATGATGCGGCCGCCTTGCGCTTCCCGCCACGATTGCCATCAGCACCACCACCACCACCACCAGCTGAGGCGGCCGCAGCGGGGGCGGCAGAAGATGACGACACGCCAGCAGACACCAAAGGGACACTAATAGGCACCTGAACACATAAAATGAATGGTCCACCTGAGTTTGTGTGTCGGCCTGTGTGTGTTAGTGATATGACATTGCAGCCTTGCCTGTGGGTCGTGGTCAGCGATCTCTGCCAGCTGCTTGGTGAGGGTCTCCAGGAGGGCAGAGAGGCTGCCGGCCGACGCACCATCCTGCAGGCAAAAGACGAACACACGAATGGCAAGAGAGTGCTGCTGCTCGGCTATGTTGTGTTTCGTGCGGACCAGTGTGCTGTCAGCTTGTGAGGCTATCATGCGCTCTGCCCCGTCAAGATCAGACACCAACTGCGAGGCGACCTGCAAGCCAAAACCAACCCATTCACATCTCTAATGCTGCATGTGTTGAGCCCTCTTCTCTTCCTCTCACCGAACGCATCGAACGTATCTTTTGCAGGAGATCACGGGAGCTACCGCCGCCACCCGCCCCGCCGCCCTGCCAACCTAAGTCACACAGCCAGGACACACAAGGCATAACACACGGAAGCTGTCAATCAGGTGCGCCCTGTTAGACCTGCAGAGAATGCCGGGCCGCCACCGCTGTCTATGTCCATCAAATCACCGCCTGTAGTGTTGGACAAGGAGGCGAACGACCATGGTGCACTTGTGTGCCGCGTGTTGTGTAGATGTGTGTATGTACCAGTGTGTTGCGAAGGGTAGCCCATCGCCGAACCTGCAGCAGATGACGAAGAGGCGGCAGCAGCACCCACAGACAGTCACACACACTGATCCATTCATAGCTCGTCCGCGTGCCGCCCCTTCAGGTGCTTGCCTGAGGTCTGCTCGCCACCCTGATCACCAGCACCAGCACCAGCAGCTGGGGGGAGGGCTACGTCCAGCCAGTTGCCGAACGCCACTTGTGCGTCGGCTCCCATCACATCACGCACCACCCTCACTGTCTCGGGGAGCGCCGCCGCACCCTCCTTGCCATCCACCGGCCGCTCCGTCGTGTGGAGGGAGACGTCGGCTGGGGCGTCGGCGTCGGAGCTGCAGATGATGACGTGCGCCTCGAAGGTGTGGTCGGGCTGGTCGCCGTGCAGCAGTATCATTCGGTAGAAGCTTCTTGCTACCCAGCGGCTGCTGGTGCTGGTGCTGGTGCTGCGGCAGTCCCAGATGGGCGGCGGCTGAGAGGCGAGGACCCGCTGAAGAGAGAGTGAGATATGACAATGAGGGAGTGGGGCGGCTGGTGAAGTGCTTCGTGTGTGTGTGGTTGTGTGACTGACCAGTCGCTCGCAGCGTTGGGGATCGTCGAACTGGTAGACCATCTTGTTCGCGACCTCCCACCCTCCATGATCCATCCTGACCGATCAGACACACCATGGCAGAGCGGTGCAGCCAATGCGTATAAGTGTTCGTGTGTGTCATTCTGCTCATCTCTCTCACCGATACAACACAATGTCGCGAATTGAAGCAAACTCTTCACCTACACACACACAGCCCAATGGTCCCCCTCCTATTGCTATCCCTCCCGCCCTCACCGTCTTCCTGACACACGGGGTTGGCCTCGTCGTATCTATCGCGGAAGGGGTGGTCGGCCGGCAGCGTCTGCCGGGTGCGGATGGTCAGCGGACGCCCACCCAGCAGCTCCGCGCCATTGACGCGCCGCACCAATGGCCCGATCTGGCGGCCGATGAGTGAGATCTGGCGTAGCGCCTCACACCGGCTGTCGTACACCGCCCGGCTGCCGACCCCCTCCACATCAGCGCTGACCAGCTCTATGGGCAACCGCTTTACCCGCCCCTGATGCTTGGCCACTCTGATGATCGGCACCGTCGCCGACCACTCGCCGCTGTTGTCGATGAAGTACGCCAGCCGCAGCAGCACGTCGAGCGATGTCAGGTCAGGGGAGAGGGTGATGATGTCTTTGAGGCCCTTGGCGGCGAGCTGGGCTTCTATGTGCTTCTATGTGCTTCTATGTGCTTCTTGACGCGCTGCAGCAGAGTGCTCTCGATGGTCTCCTTGCTATGGTGCAGCAGCTTCTGCTGCTGGGTGAGGGGGCCGCTGGCGATTTGTGCGAGGAGTGCGCCTATGATGGCCACCGAGCGGGCCACTTCGCTGATCAAAAAGGGTAGCAGTTGTTGAGGCCTGGTGGGGCGGCCATGGCTCGACGAGGACATTGCCTGATGGATGAAACAAACCAATGAAGAGAGCAAAAAGCCACCGCGATGCATGTGGCAAATGATATCTCTGTGTGTGCGTGTGTGCGTCCTTCGTTCACCTGTGGCTGAGGCAAGTCGGCTACAGCAGCAGCAGCAGCGGATGAGGATGACGCTGCAGCCGCCATGGCTGGCCAGGGTCGTATACGCCTGCAAACAAGAGGCACATCACATCACTCTCGGCATCTATCCATGCCTCTGCCTCATCTCTAACGACGTGCTCACCAACTCAGATGTGTGTACAACCTCTCAGTGGAGGCCTATAATCGAGGCAGGCGGGTCAGCCGCCTCCTCTGGCACCCACAGCATCGAAAAGATGCCAAGAATGCTCCACACAGATTCTCTGAGCTCGCTACAGAGGACGGCTTTGTGGCTGCTCAAGCACGTGTTGGGGTCTGAATCAGAGGAAGAAGGTGCAAAAGATCCATCACGACGGGTACTCGCATTCAGCGTGCGTGGATGTGCTGAATGTATGTTGGCTTGACAGGTGCGTGTGTCGAGGAGGAGTCTTACGACTCCGTCGTGCAGCGCCGCACACCGACAGACCAGGTGCGTGACGCATGTGGGAAGAGATCGGACCTGGACTCATGCACTCCTCGCTGTTTATCTCTCATTCTCATTCTCTGTGTTTGCCTTTGCATTGGACGGGCTGCGGGACGGCTCGAAGGCTATTAGCTGGACGAGCGGTAGATGAGCCATGAAGCGAAGGATCTCTGCCGAAATCGACCTGACGCGAGATGACGCACACGACGGCACTGCCGAGAATCCTCAAGACCTCACTCAAGACGACGACGCCCCGGCCAAGCGAGCAGAGCCCGCCCGCAAGAAGGGACGGGCGAGTGAGACCGCCTGGCTGTGGCGCTGCCAGCCGTTTTACCTCAACGCGATAGTGAACTATGGGGGCGATGGCGAGGGCAACGAGGGCTGCTTGAGCATTCGGGACGTCATCGATGGGCCGGCAGAGGAGGTGAGGTGGATTGGGAGGGGAGGTGCACGATATATGCACGTTGCCTGTCTGTGCCCCTTTGCAATGGAATTATGAGATTCTGTTTCCCCTTTGCAGATGTTGATATGCTGCATGAGATTTGACCTGGTAGGTACGGTGAGAGAATGCAGGCAGGCAGGCAGGCCGGTCAGAGATAGATCCACACAGACGCATACGCGTTCTTTCTTGCTGTCCTTTGTTCCATCAGCCGTGGTTGGTGTCCGAGTGCCCCGTGATGCAGACGATGCGCCACATCACCATCCTCACCGGGGACACACACAATATGCCGCGAAGAAGTCAGCAGGCAACATTCGCCCACACTCCACTTCCGTGCGAACCCTTATGTGTGCGCGTGTGTGTAGTATTGCGGCTCGAATCGCTCCGCCGGTCTGCTGATGATATGCTCGCCTCGTCTGGAGCAACGGTGGCTGTCGAGGCGGTGCCGCTGCCCAAAGGGACCCACAGCACCTTCCACCCCAAGCTGATCCTGCTGGCGTACGCTGACCGCATCCGCGTGTGCATCACATCTGCAAACTTCCTCTACGACGAGTGGTGAGACCAAAGAGAGGGAGAGAGGAGCGCTTCGTGGCTGGCGCATGGGGTCACACGTGTGTGCGTGTTGTGTGTGTGTTCAGGTGGAAGAAGAACCAGACCGTCTACGTGCAGGACTTCCCACGCAAGCAAGAGGACGGCGCCGAGCTGCGATCCTCACTTGGCGAGGACATGGAAGGTCAGGACAAATTCCTTCTATCTATTGTAAGTGTTGGTGTCTGTCTTGTCATCTCTCAGATCAGTTGTCGGCTTTCATTGGCGCCACCACAAAGGCGGACGATTGGTGTGACAAGATCAAAGCGTTCGACTACTCGACAGCCATCGGACAAATCGTCGCTTCCGTGCCGTCAGTCGAGGTAGGTGAGGCAACCAACAGAAGAAGGGCTCAAGCCGGGACAAGACTGATGTGCGTCCGTGTGTTGCAGGGCAACCACGTGTGTTCGAACAAGACCGTTGTGGGGCCGAGTGTCAACCGCTGGGGCCACATGCGGCTCCGCCATCTGCTCAGGCACCAGGCGGACCCTCAGAACATGGCCGAGTGCGCGAGGGATAGACTCATGCTCGTGATCTGCCAGTCGCTCACCGGACCTGTTTATGTGTGTCTGTGTGTCAGCTTTAGTGTGGTGTGTCAGGTGTCGTCGATCGGCAGCCTCGATGCCGACTGGATCGAAGAGTTCCTAAGTCAGCCCCAAAGCTTATCATGCACACAGTTCCTGTGGATGGCCATGTGTGTGGTGTGTGTGGTCGTGCAGGCAGTCTGTGCTCGAGTGGGTCCCACCCTCAGATAAAGGCCGACATACCGTGGCAGCTGGTCCTGCCCACCGAGCACGAGGCAAGCACACTGGCCTCCATGCCATGCATCCTCCCATGCAGTCACAGCCTCTCATGCGCTCTGTGTGCAGGTGCGGACGTCACTCGAGGGATGGCCAGGGGGCAGGTGAGGGTGAGCTTGACACAAAGGACAGCGCAACACAACACAACCTCCCTCTCTCTTATCCATATGTCGATGATTGATTGCTCAGTTCGATCAAGGTCGCGCGGGAGAGTCTGCAGATAGCCGACAAGGCGGACAAGAGCGAGCGGGACTTGCCGCGCGGCGCCCTCCACAGATGGGGCACGCACGACGTCGACGGCAGGCAGGTGTGCGAAGAGGCCGCCATTCCCTACCCTCCAGGCAGATCGTCATCGTGCCCTCACTTGAAGACATTCCTCAAGTGTGTGAGCGGCGGAAACACCTGCATATGGCAGGCAGGCAGGCAGCAGCAGCCGAATTGGCGTGTGTGTATTTCAGGTATGGCTACCGCTCGACGGGCTCCGCCCGGCGTCCGGAGGTTGCGTGGGTATATGTCGGCAGCCACAACCTCAGCAAAGTGAGCAAGCCTTCCCATTCGCTGTCTTTCATTCTCTCAGACGTGTGCACGTGTGTGTGCGGTGTGCTCACACAGGCTGCGTGGGGCGAGTTGAAGGGCGGCAAGGACGAGATGGACAAGGACAACGGCCTGTATGTCAAGTCCTACGAGCTGGGCATACTCATCTCGCCACACACCCTCAGAGGCCTCACCCCGCCCCCGCCGCGCGCCACCCCACACACGCAGCCGGCCGGCTCATCGTCATCCACCGGGAGCAGCAGTGGTGCCCCCAGGCCGATGCGCTCTTTCATGTGGCGCAAGAGCGAGCCGCTGCAGACAGGTAGGTTGATCGGCACCCATAAAACACAGTGTATGTGAATGTCTGTCTGTCTGTCTGTGTGCAGGGTCCCACCCAGTCCCTCGTCTGTATGCGGCCACAGCACGGTGTCCTACTGCTCCACATGCTCGTGTGCCGCTGGTGCGCGTCCCCCTCCCATATCCCCTGCCCCCACTGCCCTACAGCCCTCGCGACAAGGTGTGGATGACGAACAGCAGACACACGGGGCGCGACAGCCGGGGCAAGACGTGTGCTGATTACAAGTGGAAGGTGGTGACGCGGACGGGTTTCTCGCGAGCCGAATTCTGATTTGACTGATGTGGGCCGCTTGCTGGGTGTGGTGTGCATAGACAGTCGCCCGGCCCGTTTGTGTGTACAAAGAGAGACGACGAGTGAGTGTGTGGTGTGCACATGATCCACGCGGAGACCTCTTGATGACACATCAGACACAATCAAGTGAATCGTATGGAGTACGCGTCTCACCGATTGCAATCCATCCATCCATCCATCCCCACTCCAAGCATGACAGCCGTATCCCAAGCCAAGCATCCAAAGCATACCACACCACACACCCCTATCATAAGGCCACCGACCCACTGCCCGCGTCCCTGCTATGTATCAGCTGCTTTGCTGTCTTTGTATGTTTCACTCAAGTGATTGATGCCGGCAGCCAGCCACGCAGGCAGGCAGGCAGGCAGGCAGGCTATCCACTCACTCGAAGAATAATTCACTGCAAAATTGTCTGGCGCTCTCGAGGGTGACTTTGTCGTGCCGTCCGGGGTCCACGGTACTCCAGGTCGGCAGCACCGCGACCTCCATGCCCTTGCACGCCAGTGAAGAGCCGGCCTTCTGAGTGACGTTGCCCACCACAAAGATGGTCGCCACTTTGGTGTCACCGGGCTCGTCGCCTGTGCGGTCCATCTTGAACGACCAGAGGCGGCACTTGTTGTCACGGGGATCGGTGCACCACTGCCTTTTTGCCTTTGTCTTGCACTTGAAGTCGTGCACCTTGTACACGTCCATTTTTCTTTGCCCACCTTGCAGCGGATGCACCCACCAGATAATTTTCTCCTTGCCATTCTCGGGGCAGGAGTAAGCGCACTGGCGGGTCGGCAGCGAGCGAGACCTGTCATCCGCCGTGCCTATGTCGGGCAACACGCAGAAGCCGTTCTGTGATACCAAGGATTGCGCCACCATCTCTCTAAACCATTTGGTGCTAAACCATTTCAGGTCGACTTCCGTTTGGCCTTCACACACACACACACACATACAGTCATAAAGATGCGCACTCAGTTGGTGGATGCGTTGAGGGCGGCTGGTGCTTACCGCGGTGGGCCATGTAGTCTTCAACTTCTTCTTCATCATCCTGTGCAAACGAAGAGATGCCGATACTACCTGTACAGAGACAACACAATGCACGATGGATCGATCTTTCCTCCGCGTGTGTGTGCGTACCGCCTGGGCTGCCGGAAGTGCTGCCCTTGTCGATGGCCGCCAGCGCCGCGCCGCTCACATCAGCCGCCATAGCGCTCCTGTTGTGGGCCATAATGCTCATCTTGTGTGCGGCCGCCGTCAGATTCGCCGCATGAGCTATCGAATCGAGCACCAGCGAGAAACGAGCTGCACCCAACACAAACAGAGATCCACCAAGACAATGAATGGCCCTTTGTGAGCCGCACTGACCACCCTGCTGGTCGTCGGAAGATGCATCGGTGGCCCACGCACCTGCAGGCAGCCACGGACGAATGAGCGGATGGATGGATGGATAAAAAGCCACGGGAATCCGCAGATCTACACTCTTTTTGTGTCTTGCGCCATTCATCTACTCATCGCCTTACCGTATTTGTCCTCACTGTGGTCGCTGAAAGTGGATGCGAAACCCCCACCAGTACTGCAGCTGCTGTCCTCGTTATCGGTGCAGCCGCTGGCCGAGATTGCGAGCGCCACACGTGCCGCCGCAATGACCAACACGAGAACGGAAAGCATTGCCACAACAGTATCTCCCCACGGTCAGTTCCGAGATTTACTTCTGGCCAGGAGGGGGCCCTCTCTGCTGTCTGACTGGTCCATATCTGCGATCAGGATTGGCTACTAAATAGGTCACAGACACACGCACACAAAGCGGATGTCACTGACTGCCTTACACACAGGCCACATATACTGTATATATACAGGGGACCGACCGACCGCCGGCCACATTGAAACGCATCTCTCTCTCGCCGCACCAATCAATCTATGAATGCAATGAATGCCTCACAAAAAAGCGGGGCTTCCGCGCGCCGTACGTGGCAACCGCACAGTACACCGACGTCCATTTGTACACACGGACTCACACACACATACGACCGAGCCACACACACATATAATCACTCGTCGTACTGCTCGAAGGACGTCTTGTATTTCTTGAAGCACACCTCGTTGAGGGACAGCACCGGCTGATCGAGAGACTCCTGCACACACAACACATACATCGTACCCCACACCACACGCAGACACTTGATGTGGGTCACACACACACTTGCCGAGTGTGTGGACTTACGGCAACGAGCTCTGCAAGGTCCTTAATGAAGAGGGGATCCACGTTGAGCGCCGGCACGCGCCGCCAATTCCTGCGCACAGACACACAGACATAAACACGTGTTCTCGCTGGATTCGAAAGCATTGGTACCTGATGCCCTTCTCGTGGGCAAGATGGCGGTACTCGATGTCAATCTCCTCCTGTCAGCCGACACACGCACACACAGGTCGGCACAATATCCATGTGTGTGTGTGTGTGTCTGTGCTCACGAGTGTCTCAATGTGCTCGCTGACAAACGAGATCGGCACGACCACCAGGTTCTTAACCCCCTGCACACATGACATGGGAACCACATCAACACAAATGGGAGTCTCTGTGTGTGTCTGTGTGATGGATGCATCGTACTTGCTTAGCAAGGGACTCGATCATGTCATCGGTGTACGGCTGCAGCCACTCGACCGGCCCCACTTTGCTCTGGTACGACAGATGCGTCGACACATCTGCACACACACACACACACACACACATGGGCTTCCATGCCACACGTCATGCGTCTCCCAGTGAGTGCAGTCAGTGGATTGCATTGCGTGAGTACCGACCAGCAGAGTACTGCCGTTTGACCGTGTCGATGGTCTTGACGATGTGGTCCTGGTAGGGATCGCCGTTCTGGATGTAACTCTGACGACACACACACACACATGGTTATGCAGTCCTCTGTGCGCGCGCGCGCGCGCGTGTGTGTGTGCGCGCGCGCGCGCGTCAGACTGACCTTTGGCACCCCATGTGCACTGAAGAGCACGTGTATGCCCTCCCTTCTCTCGTCCGCGGTGAACGAGTCGATCTCCTGCACACAACACCAAACAACACAACACAACACAACACGCCACGCAATGCCTTCGCTCGTGTGTGCCTCCCTCCATCCCTCCATCCCTCTATCTATCCCTACTCTTTGAATGAGGTTGGCGACGGCCTTGGTGTATCCGGGTCGGTCGTACCACTCCGTCACGACCGTGTGGGGCATGTCGATGAACATCCGGGAGTACTTCTTCAGGATACTGCACCCACACACACACACACACAGACAGACAGACAGGTGAGTGCATCATACGTCTGCATATCAGAGGCGTCAATCTGTGTGTCCACCCCACCGTACTTGATGGAGCTGCCGCTGGTCGACACACTGAAGTGGGGGTAAAGCGGCAGTATCACCACACCCTGCGCCAAACCATCCACCACACACACACACACACATCGACGTGTGGACAAGTGTGTGGAGCCAGTGACACTTACATCGACATTGTCGCTGAGCATTTCGGTGACTGCCGTCCGTGTGTATGGGGCGCTGTACCGCATGGCGATGTACGTCTGTGCGTCGTAACCCATCCGACGCAGCTGACGCGTCAACGCCTCACCCTTCCACCAACCACACATCAACACGCCAGCCACAGACACGTACGTCATCACACGAACGAGTATGTGCAGACGAGATGGAGCAAGCAGCGTGCAGACAATAGCGTACCTGTGCTTGTGTGTATCCCAGTATGGGCGATCCGCCGCCGATCGACCGATACGCCTCGCTCGTCTTGGGACCTGAACACGCGCGCGCGCGCGCGCATCTCGACCCACCCCTGTTGGCTGATGGCTTCGGATCACTCACTTCTGGCCTTTGAGATGAGGTACGCGAGCGGCTCTTGGAGCCACCGCAGTGCCGCGGGCAAACGAAAGATCTCACCTGCATCCATCCCATCCATCCATGTGTGTGCACACGAAGGACGATATGTTCTGCCTGGTCTGTTTTGCCCACTCACCGTCCATAAAGAGGTTGAACAAGAAGCTCTCGACGTCGTTCTCCATCAGCGGGCCGCCCAGGTTGAGAATCAACACGCCGATGCGCGCATCCCTCACCTGCAGCACGCACACGTGAAGGACAGACAGGATGATGCACATCACCAGCGCGCTCGCATCATAACTCGGCTGCTTACGTTCATCCATTCCCTGATGCTTGCGTCCATCCACTCTCTCAGCGTGGGCTTCGGCTCGCTCACTTTGCCTGCGCAAGACACACAGACACACACACACACACACACGGACAGACAGACAGACAGTCACAGACAGAGGAGAGCATCATATGCATTGCACACGTGTCAATCTGTGTGTCCGTCTCTGCACAGGCGTACTTTCAGGCGGCTCCTTCACCCTCCCCAGCCAGTCTTTCTTGACCGGCTTCTGCCTCACGGCCGGGGGGGGAGCAGCCACGCCCATCCTGCACACATCACAGTCACACACACCAGCAGCGTGTTTGAACCAAGCACAAGCATCTGTCATCTCCTGACGCACCCACCTGAGCGTCCTCGTGTGTCTGTGCGGCTGCACCAGGAAGGCCTGGGCGCACGACAGTGACGCCGCTGCGAGGCTGATGAGCGTGAGAGCCGTCTGTGCTCTCCGCCTGACCGGCTTCCTCCTGTCCAGCTGATGCATCTCCATCTTCACTGCATTAGCAGGCCTTTCCCTACTGCGAGCTTTCCAGCGATCGCCGGGGAGGGAAACGGCGAGGATTGCGAAGACGAGCGTGACAACAGAGATTCGGGGGACAGGCGGTTGACGTGTGGACACAGATCTGCCGTGATCAGAGATCATGGCGTTGGTAGCGCGTGAGGAGCCAGAGCCGAAGAGGCAGCGGCTGGATGTGGTGCCTGCCGGCCCGGGGTACGATGGCGTGGTGGCTGTCCCGGCGGTATGTCAAGGGATGGGATCCGTGTTGATATATGTGTGGACGGATGCGGGATTGTCGGACGCACTCTATCCATGTTTGTTCTGGGTTGTGTGTGTGAGTCAGAACCAGCGCAAGAGCGGGATTCTGGCGCCTACGATGCTGCTCACAGGCCACCAGGTGAGCAGTGACGAGGAACACTGATCGGTTTGCGTCACCTGGGTGTGTGCATCCATCTGGGTGTCGATGGTGTGTCTGTCTGGCTGCAGGGTGAGGTGTTCTCTTGTGAGTTCTCGCCTGACGGGCGCAACCTCGCCTCTGGCTCGTTCGACAAACAGATATGTACGCATGGGGTGGATGGACGGATGAATGGAACGATCACACTAAGGGGTATGTGTGTCATTGGTTGTGTGTGCAGATCTGTGGCAGACCTACGAGGAGTGCCCCAACTGGTGTGTGCTCAAAGGCCACACCAACGCCGTCCTGGAGATCCACTGGAAACACGACGGAACGTACATACGCCCACACACACACAGACATACACACACACACACTGTGTCTGTGTCTGTGTCATCATTGTGTCTGCAGGCAGATATACTCGTGTTCGGCCGACAAGAGCGTGTGCGTGTGGGACGTCGAAGAGGGACAGCGAACCAAGAAATTCAGTACGCACAGATGAATGCTCTCACGGCCACCTTCAAGGCACGTCTGTGTGGTTTTGTGTGTGTGTGTGTGTGCAGATGGTCACCAGGCGGTGGTCAACTCGTGCAGTCCCAACAGGAGGGGGCCACCGCTGCTGTGCTCGGGGGCGGACGACGGCACCACAAAGGTGCAATGGACGAATGGATGGATGGATGGATGGCTGGCTGGATGGACGCCATTTCGTGTGACTGGTGTGTCGGTTGACGTGTGCAGGTGTGGGATTTGCGGACGCGGCGGTCCGTCAACAGCTACGAGCATCAGTATCAGGTACACACACGCTCCGACTGACCAAATGATAGAGATGCGGACGTGTGCTTTGCTTGCCACCTACCTGACCTGGACCACCAGATTCTGGCCGTGACGTTCGACGATTCGGCCGAGCGTGTGTTCGCCGGCTCTCTCGACAACACCATCAGGGTCAGTCAGGGAGGCAGGGAGGCAGGCAGACAGCGACGCGGACACGGGTCCATTTGTGTGATGGCGTGAATGCCGTGTCTGTCTGTGTTTAGGTGTTTGACATGCGTCGTGGTGAGGAGGACACCGAGATGACGCTCAAGGGCCACGCTGACAGCATCACAGGCATCGACCTCAGCAAAGACGGGTAGCCTACACACACGTGCAGTGCACGCGCCGCGCAAATGCGTCGTGTGTATGTGTGTGTGTGTGCATATGCAGGCGGTATCTGCTGAGCAATTCGATGGACAACACGGTACGTCAGTGGAACGTCGAGCCGTTCTTCACCAGCCGGAGGGAAATCACCGCATTCACCGGACCACTGGTATGGGCGCACACACACATACACACACCTAATGTTTGAACACCCGCGTGTGGCTGGTCTGCTGTCCTGTCTGTAGCACAATTTCGAGAAGAATCTGCTGCGCGTGCGGTGGAACGCCGCTGACACCATGTGTGGGGTGGGGTCCTCGGACAGATTCGTATACGTCTTCGACACGGTGAGTGAGTGAGACTCTTCGGATGGATTCGCTCGCTTGTGTGTCTGCTTGACATATTGGTGTATGCGTGTGGGTGTGTGCAGAAGGAGAGGAAGCTCTTGTACAAGCTGCCGGGGCACACAGGATCCGTCAACGAGGTGAAATAAATGAGACAGAGAGGCGAGTGTAAGCATGAAGATGTGTGTGGGTGGGTGGGTGGGTGGGTGGCCGTGTGGGCAGGTGTGTTTCCACCCGACCGAGCCGGTCATTGCGTCTGCCAGCAACGACAAGAGGATCTACATGGGGGAGCTCGCCTGAGGAGAGGAACCACGCGCAGAGACCGACAGGCAGACAGACGTACGGGCATGAGTGGCCTGCGCGTTAGCTTCGAGAGTATGCCAATGTCTGACTTTTTCCACCGACCAACAATCTGAAATAACGTCACTTTCCAATGCCATTGGCTGAGAGTTGTGTTTCTTCCTCTAACGCTCAATAAGCACTCTGCTGCCCGTGCAAGGCCGAGCCTATTTTTCCGGAATGATGCGAGCTCAGTTGTTCGCCCCCTGCGCCCACTGCGCGTCTCAGCCTCTGTTTTGCTCCACGAACAGATGACGCAAGCAATGGTCTTCGGGCGAGAATTGGAGACGGGACGCGGCGAGAATTGGAGACGGGACGGGAAATTAAATTTTTCGTCCCACTTTTAGCAGTTTTCGTTCGCGCTCGGCTTCTCAGCCTTCTTTCGGCCACAGATCCCCCGTTTCTTTTTCTTTCCATCTGCTTTTTGGCTGGTGTGGTCCGCGCCATCCTCTTCTACCCCTCCCAACTCATCCTGATGTCGTCTGCCACTTCCTTCCTCTACCGCCGTGGCGCCACGAGCGAGGCCTCAGGCGGTGGCGCCCTGCTGTCTGCTGAACAGCTGGCGACTCCCTGACGCCTGTCTGGCGTCAACTGAGTGCGACGACGCCTTCCTTTGTCTTCAAAACATCCTCGCAGGTGAGGACACGTTTCATGTCTTTGTGTTGGCTGGTGACGGTATGGTATGTGGATGATGTTCAAGGATGACTTTGCATGGTCCGTTTCATTGCTGTGGTGATGTCACTGTGCCCTGTCGACATGTGTGCAGATGATGGAATTGTGGTTCTTTCTCCTGATGGCCGTCTCTTTTCCCGACGGAGTCCTCAACAGGTGAATGGAGTATTCAACTATCCAATGAATGATGTGTTGAGAGTGAGAGTGCACTTACTTTGCCTTTGCTGCTTCACAGACAACTCTTTTCCATTCCAAGAAAAGAAACAGAAAGCCGGTAAGCGGAACAAACGAGGACAGCTAAGCACATTCTGTGTGTAGCGCCGCCGTCGACGACAAGGCGACCGCCAAAGTCCCCATCGCCTCTCGAGCTCTCTGTCGAAGACGCCGTCAGCCAGCCGTCACTCAGACACTGGCTGGCCGTGTTGGTTGGCATTGTGTTCAGCAAGCACTTCTGGTGTGTCCTGTGTGTGTGTGTGTGTGTGTGTGTGCAGGGAGTGACGGAGGCGAGGTGGCACATTGTGCTGTCCGTATGGGAGCAGGAGGTCGCCCGTGTGAGGGTAAGAAAGGCACCCAAGACGGTCGCCACTCATTCGCTCGCCCACATATACTTTGCCCCTTCTCTGTGTGTTTTGGCCCTTTGGCTGACAGAAACTGCGCGCCCGACCGCTACCACCACCACTGCCCCCGCACCGCGGGTACGTACACACACATAGGCACATTGGTGCACCACTCAGGGTACCATCCACTCATCTGTTGCTGTCTGTCGGCTGCTGTATGCTCTCTGCCTGTCAGACCTGCCGACTGGGACTGGAGAGCGGCGGCGCTGCCCCGCTGCCGTCATCCACTCCGATCACCATCATCGATGCCCACCCGTCCCCCCACCCTGCAGCCCAGTGGCCCCCTGCCCATGCCCACCCAGCCCACCGACTCAGCACGGCAGCACCAGATCCAGGAGAAGGGGAGTATCGCTGGCTACATTTTATATTCGCTTGTTGGTGTCTTCGACAATCTCACGCGATGGCTAAGACCGTGCGAAAGACACACTTTTCTCACGCACGTCGCACGCACACACGTTTCCATCTTTTACGTGTCTCCAGGTGAGTGAGAGCAGACAAACACGGACAACACGGCGACCATTTGTGTGTTGTACACCTTGTGCCAGGAGACAAGGGTATGCAGTCAGCTTCTGTGTCAACACCAGACGACACCCACTCCAGGGTGAGGAGGATGCAAACATATTACACCAGCTCATCTTGATGGCATCTTTGCTGCTTGTCAACCGTCTTGGCTGCATCGACTCAGAGGTGATACACACACGAACGATGTGGCCATCTCTGACATGGGTCGCTCCATTGTGTGATTGTGTGTGTCAGGAGGATTACGGTCGTCCCTGTCTGTCGGGGCATCCCGCAGCCGTCATGGGCCACGCCTCTCATGCGTCAACAGGGAGACCCACGAGAAGGCCACCGACGAGACGTATGGCGTGTTCCGACACTTCACCATGTTGGACGCCGATCAGGAGGCCTACTGGGACATAGACGACTTTCGCGAGCTGCACCACATGGTAAGAGCGCTGCTGTGGGATACCGGTCGACATGGCCGTGTAATGCCTTCTCTGTCGTGCGCCTGTGCGTGTGCAGGGAAAGATCCAGGTGGCTCATGTGGAGGTTCACGCTGTCCCCGATGTGGTGTCGCCGCTGCTGGAGGCCTGCGCCACAACACTCGTGAAGCTCACGCTCGACTCCAACACTGGACCAACAGCTATCCAGCAGACACCCGCCGCCCCGCCTGCGTGACGTTCCCCAACCTGACTCGTCTGCAGCTAGTGAAGAGCATGAAGTCAGACTACGCCGTCAAGTACGCATGGAGGCCAGTGAGTGTGGACGGCGCTCATTCATGCCTCGGTGTCGCGTGTGTGTATTTGTAGTGACCGTCGCTGGACCTTCCCTGAACCCACCACCCTCCTTGTCGACGAGCTCTGCATGGGCGCTGCGGTTGACGTCGTGCGCCTCCTCACCACATCCCCCAAGATCAAGTGGTTGGAGAGCAGCAGCATCTTCTTCGACGACGCCCAGTGGCCCCGCTTCACTGCCGTCCTCGGCCGCTGCCCCTGCCTCACCACCATCACCGGCCTGCAGATCAAGATGGACCAGGTCGGCTGCCGAGAGGTGCGCTCAAAAAGAAGCTTTCTGCTCACAGATCGTCACCCGCCCTAGGCAACAGGAGCTGCTGGGAATCTTTGGCAACTCCTTTCTTTCCTCAGATCTACAGTATGGTATCGACGAGGCGGCTCGGGGCTTGGCAGACACGCACATCCTGTACTTCACCGGCTGGACTTCACCACACATCCAGCTGGACAACACCTCCCGGCGTCCAGTGTGATGCGTTTGGTGCCGGCGGGATATTCCACGTGGGTGGGTGTGCCTTCACATGCCGTAAGCTGCGCATCGCACGGAGAGACATGGATCATTCATGTCTCATACAGCAGCTTGGTTTGCTTTCATTCAGGGCCTCATGATCAAGATAGACCAGTTTGGCCGCATCAGCGAGCTCAAAAGCGCCCTCAACTCACACTGGGACACACCAGAGACGAAAGGTGCGCTCAACAAGAAGTGCATCGGGGCACAAGGGTGGCTTATCCTGCTGCTTTCCCCTCTTGTGTGTTTCATGCAAGAAGCTGGGATTTGTGACCCAGCGGTGCGTGGTTGATGGCCTGCACTCCGCCCGCCCCGCTGACAGCATCACCACAGGGCCAGCAGAGTAAGACGCCACACTACCGCACACACCTCTTCTGTCTACGCTCCCAAGCTTATCTCTTTCGTGCGCAGATCGCTGTCTTCATTTTATATTCGATGGACGTGTCTCCCAAGCCGAGCTGTTTGGTGACGACCAGTCGACAGTGCCGTACGTGTGCCTCATGGCAAGCCCCCGAGTGCCCTCCCCTACCACAGGGGCGACCTCCCCAGAGCCATCGACTTGTATTGGACGGCCATCGATAAGGCAAGTACACACACACGGGGGCGAGTGGGGTAATGTGATGTGGTCACTGTGATATGCCTGTATTGTCGGTTTGTTCGTTCGTTAATTGTGTGCAGGCGAACAGCATCACCTTCTTGCTCGGGAGTCGTGAAAGCTCGCCCCTCGGGCTCTATCCGGGGGACGAGGAGGAGGAAGAAGCAGCTCAGCTTAGGCACCGCATGCATTGCAGCATTGCTCTCTTGTCGGTCGGTCGTCTGTCCGTTCCCTCTGGCCCGAAGGCGCGACGGCTCTCCCGCGGTGGTCCAGGAGCGCTTCGGGCCAGCCATCTCCATCTCCATCTCCATCCCTCGAGCGGCAGCGAGCACCGTCATCATCAATCAGCATCGTCTGGTCTGCATGAGACCATTGCAGCACCCTCATCCGGCCGCCCTCGGCCCTGCGACGAGACCCTCGGCCCCGCCACGCGGAGCTGGCCGCATGGCCATTGATGGACGAGTGGGCTGGCCGGCAGGGCGCCACGTCATTGGCCACCGACAGCAGTCTGACCAGGATCACGACAGCGGCAGTGGTGAGAAACGGAGAGAGCCTCAGCCTGAGGGAGAGAGATATGGATGGATGGAGAATGAATGCACCCACTGTGGTCTGTCTGTCAGGTCCGTTGACAGAGGAGCTCCTGTCTAGCCACCACCACAGGCAGTGGAACAGGTGAGTCAGGCAGTCTGATAGTGACGACAACAAACAAACAAACAAACAGACAAACAACAGACGAATGACAAAAGAGAGAGAGAGAGAGAGAGAATGTGTGTGTGCAGGTGGATGGTTGAGTGTCGGGAGGAGCGCCGGCGTGACTCGTTGCCATATCGGTACACACAGATAGATGGATAGATGGATGCATGGATGGACGCTGCCTTTGTTGTGTTGTGTTGTGTTGTGTTGTGTTGCAGTGATAAGGGATACTCTCTGGCAGTTATAGGGGATACTCTCTGACTGCCGGCTGCGGCTGGGCATTCCACCATTGTCGTGTCGGATCAGGGGGCGGCAGGTGCATCAACTGCTGCGGCTGCGGCTGCAGCTGCGCCTGCGACTGGGGGCGGGCGTGGGGATGGAGCAAAGAGCCGGCGCTGGTTCCAGTGTGGCTTCTCGCGCCTGACCGACGACGCAGCAGCCAAGGCAGACATCGCCATCCTGTGTGTGTACGGATCCGCAGTCGGCCTGTTGTTGGTACATCTGGTGCTCTTGGCAGAGGTATCCTCGCTGAGAATCTGTTGGGTGCAGTGATTGGTCTCGGGTTGATGGAAATGTGTGTGTGTGTGTGTGTGCATGTACAGACCAACCCCTTCGCCATGGACGACCGGCTCCGTGAGGCCCTGACGGCAGTCAGACAGCTGCAGGGGGTCGGTCAGTCAGTCAGTCGATCAAACATTATGTATCCACACACACACAGCAAACATTCTGTCGGCTCGCTCTCTTTCTCTCGCTGGCTGTGTTGTGTTGTGTTGTGTGTGTGTCATCCATTCTCTCTCTCTACTTACCTACAGGACCGGCAGACGGCGGAGAAGACTGTCGAGTGGCTGAGGGCTGACCATTGGGGCTGACCTCAGCGCGGCCAAGAGAGCCAAGGACGCCGCCGACCGCCGGGCCCATCACCGCCAGACAGCCAACAAGACGCTCCTGGAGCTCTAGCGGCGCCGTTCGGACACCGAGTCGCACCGACGCAGGGCGGCTGAGCTCATGGTGGGTACTCAGACAGACAGACAGACAGGGAGGGAGGGAGGGAGAGAGGGCTGATTATGTGTATGGTATGGACGTGTCGTTTGTGTGCGTGCAAATGTCTGTGTGTCTGGTCTGCACTGCAGCTTAATCGGCTGCACGTTTCTCTCGACGCCAAGGAGCGCCAGTGTTCGGCCATGGCGGCCGAGAGGGACCACCAGCGACGTCTGGAGACACCCGAGGCAGCGGTACGTACGTCCATGCACCATGCACACCACAACTGGTTGATGGGATGGGTGTGTATCTGTCTGTGTCTCTGTGTGTGTGTGATACAGTACACGCAGCTCAAAGCCAAGGAGGCCGCATGGGCGTCGGAGCGCGCAGCCCTCCTGGACCAGCTCGCCGAGCTACGATGGGCCTTCGTCAAGGCCTACTGGGACGACCACGTCAACTCGACATGGGTGCGTACACACCGACAGACACAGAGCACTCAGCTCGTGACGCACCCACGCACACACACACGTGTGCAGTGACGCCGCATCAACAAACGGAACGTACAATGTGTGTGTATTCTCTGGCTGGTCTGACAGGTCGTCAGTATGGAAGCTGACCTCAAGGCCATGGAGGGGTATGTATGTCTGCAACTGAAACACACACACACACATGCGCTGCGCTGCGCGTATCCATTGCCTGCCTGCCGTGTGTGTGCGTGTGCAACCAAACTGGCTGACTGCACTGCAGGCAGCTGCGCAAGGTCAAGGTCAAGTCGCGGCTGGAGGGTGCCAGGCGAGAGGCCAGCTGGCCTACCACATGGGCGACCTCCCCAGAGCCATCGATACGGCAAGTACACACATACACGGGGGCGAGTGTGAGTGGGTTGGTGGGGTAATGTAATGTGGTCACTGTGACACGTCCGTCCTATGTGTTAATTGTGTGCAGGCTCGGCGGTTCCACACTCCGATGGACCAGCATCACCCTCTCGCCGGCATCACACGGTCTCTTGATGCCGACAGGTGCGTGGGGACACTCCTTTGTCACCACACACAGCACAGCACAGCACTACATAGTGTAGTATACATGACGGCTGACCGGCTGAGGAATGGATGGATGTGTGTGTGTGTGTGTCTGTGTGTGTCTGTGTGTGTCTGTGTGTGTCTGTGTGATCCAGGAGAAGGAGGATATCGCTGCTTACATTTTGTATTCGCCTGTCGGTGTCTTCGCCAAGCTCAAGTGACACATGTTTCTCACGCACGTACGCAGGCTCACACGTTTCCATCCTTTACGTGTCTCCAGGTTTGTGTTGGGGTTTTCGCTCACCCACCCACCCACCCTCGGCCCCGCCGTGACTGAGGTGAGTCAGGGTCAAGACCGAATGATACACACACACACACACACACACTTACACACACACAGATTGGCACAGACACATCCACTCATCACACATGCACAGACGCTTCCATCCTGCACGTGTCTCTGTTCGTCTGTCACGCGTGCAGCTTTGTGTTGGGTTTTGGCCGACAGAACAACCACTTCACTGCGGTAGAGCGGCTGTTGAGCGATTTTGTGGCCCGAGACCAACAATGCCGCTCAAAAGAGAACGACCAAAAGAGAACGCTGTCAAAGCCACACTTTGGCGCACTTCTTGTGTTGGTTGTGGGTAATGTGCAGGAGATCAATACGGACACGCGAGACGTCATCATTCCCCTCACATGATGGAGGTAGGCAACACGGACTCTCTCTGTGTCTGTGCGTGTGGATTTGCTCTTTGATCTGCCCCGGAGCTTCTCACATTGTCCCTCAGCAGACACACACACACACACAGAGTATCCCTCTCCGTCGATGTGGGCGTCAGTCAGGTTTGTTGCTGCTCTATATGCTCACGAAGACCGTGCTGCTGTCGCCGCCGCAGCCATACGACCGACACATCTGACATTCAGGCCAGAGCGATGCACAGAGTAAGAACACAACACATACAGACACACTCTCAGACAGATGCAGTCCACTCCACCCAGCCACCGATGCCTGTGTATGAGTCTTTTCAGTGCTGTGTGTCAGAAGGGTGTGCCGACGGAAGGCCCCATTCCTACAGATCGCAGTACCTCATGAGCAGACAGATTGAACTGCGATCGTGGAGCTGATTGAATACATGCTTCAGCGAGACCCCCACGATCGGCTTTGCGTGTCAGAGGTCAGTTGTGTGGATGCCCCCACTGCTTGAATGAATAATAAGAGCTAACTGGCTCAAAATTCCTACACGTAGTCATCAAGGGCGGCCGTATCAAGGGCGGCCGCCTCACTCGTCTGTCTGTGTGTCCGGGACATTCATATATATTGGAGAGGTTTTGACGCGTTCGTTCCATCGATGGATACATACTGTGTGAAATGTACACACAATGCTGGTGGCGGGACTGTGGCGGGCGTGGCGTGCTGATGGATGGGTGTGGTGCACACACTGCTACACTCTGCGGCGCGTGGCTGCGAGCAGACAGAAAGAACGAGAGGCAAGGCGGCAGGCAGGGAGCCAGACAATGTGCCGGCTGATAATGTGAGGGCACCAGACAAGCATGATCGGCACGCGTGTGCAGATAGGGAGGCAGAGGTGTATTGCGTCCATCCATCGTTGCCTACTTTTTATATTTGCTGGGCTGTGGATGTTGATCCCGAAACCAGTTGAGCAGCTAGGTGAACGGGACGGATCGGTCAACGATCGACCATTGCACCACTTTCATTCAGACATCGTTGCAGCACGTCTATGCACACACACGCCATTTCTGTACAAAGACCAATACGCCCAGCAACGCCTCAACTCCTCTCGACCCCTCCCTCTCCCCCTGCCACACACTCTCACACAAAGCGTGTCTTCATCTATCCATCTATCTTAGCCTCTTCCCCTTGATCCGCTGGCTCAATGACGGGTGCATCGCTTCTCGCGGCGGGGGCTTGCTGGAGGGCGCCACCTTGTGTGTCTCAAGGGTGCTCGTAGTATTGACAGCACAGCTCTCCAAGTGGGGCACAGTGAATGGCGGGTGGGCGGGGAGGGGCAGGGGGGGAAGAGGTGACGACATCGGGTGGGACGGCTGCTCTGCCGATGTCTCAGCGGTGGATGCATTGTGTGCATCTGTGGCCGACGCGCCGCTCACCAACACTTGATGCAGCAATGGGCTCGTCCTGTCGGCCGACCAACACACGCATCAACTTGCCATCAAGTGAAAAAGTTGTCGCTCCCTGTCTCCCTCTCTCCTTGGCTCACCGTAGCTTCCTCATTCTCAGCTTCTGCTGTCTGGTCCGTGCAGTCTCCTTTGGCATTCTGACGGCGCGTGTGAGTGTAGGGGCAAAGGGAGGCTGCTGTGGCGGGGAACCCATCTCAGACAGGCAGCTGTCCAGGCCAGGGAAGCTGCACACGTCCACAGAGACATAGTGGGTGGAGGGAGTGAGACACGCATATATATGTGTGTGTGTGTGCCTGGGCACCTGGAGCAGCTGCGATCGGGGTCAAAAGTGGCATAGAAATCGAGGTTGAGAAATCGCAGGAAATGCTATCCACAGACACACACAAGACATCAGACCTGTCTAATGGCCAGCTCAGTTGGAGATAACCCGTTGGTTTGCGTGTTTCTCTGTGAGGATGGGACAGGCGATTTGGAATATGCACTCGGCCATCACCCGCACCACCAGGGTCACCAGCGGCATCGCATACCCCATACCCAATCCCTTAGGATGAAGCCCCTGCAGTCACCAGCCAACCAGACATCCTTGACCATAGCACCCACAGGTGTGTGTGTAGTGTTTCTTACGGCGCATTGTTTCCTCAGCACGGCAAAAGTGGTGTGCAGCGACAGCGTGAGAGCTTGCCGGTCGGCCTCGCTGATCGCTGCCACGGAGGGCATATCCGTGGCATCGTCCATGGCATCGATGAGTGGCTGGGTTGATGCGAGGAGTGGGGCCGCGATGTGCCAGTTGAGGGACTGGGCGAAGGAGATGCTCAGCTGCAGACACGAATCGCTCGTCAGCTACCGCAGGAAAGAGAGCAGCACAAGAAAGGGGGATGGATGGATTGGCGTAAATGGATTGTGCGTGTATCGGCTGCACGCGCAGGCTCACTCACAATTTTGGCGATTCGTTCCTTGACGTCGACGGTGAGCCGCTCGGGCCTCAGCGTGAGCTTGTCCATTGGCAGCCGTCCTGGATCAGACACCAGATAATCCAGCTCCTGACGCACACGCGCCGCTGGCACCTACACACACACACATACACACACACACACGGTGTATGTCTCGCCTCTGTGTTTGTGAGTGTCTCCATTGCGAGCATACGTCAAGAGGCTGGGTCAGCAGGGCCGTCTTGACGGCTTTGGGCAGCCCCAACACCCAATCGCTGAGGGAAGGCTCCCTCCCCCCTGTGTCGTCTCTCAGAGAAAGAAACTTCCAATGCAGCACCTGCACCGCCGCAATGGCGTCCTCCTCCCTCTCTGTCGTCTCCCGCGCCTCCTTGCCGCGCCGAATGCCCTCGCCCCCCAGCAGCAAGGCGCCCTGGTGGCTCTCGTCATCTTGTGTGGCGGAGGTGCGGTCGTCGTCGTGCAGAGACATGGTCATGACGCGCTTGGGCGGCTTGGTGGTGAGAGTCTTGAGCTGTGCGTTGGCCTGGGAAATGTGAGGAGCCGCCGCTGCGGCACGGATGTCACGCAGCGCTTGGAAAAAGGCCCTGAGAGAGATCGTCGGAGAGTCATGGTCAGTATGGAGGATGAGTTGAAGGCTCAGAATTCACTTACACCAGTCGTGGGCTGACGTCCTGCGAGGCCTTCCTCTCCTTATCTCTGCTGCGGTGTCCGAGCATGTCGATGTGTGTGTGCTGCGGCAGCTGGTCGGTCACGGCCTCCCTGACCACGCCGAAGAATGACGGCCGGTCCTCTCGCGCACCACTAGACGCCACACGGGCAGTCGGGGGCGGCGACACATCCTGTGCAGACAGACAGAGACACAGAGAGACAGACAGATGCCGCCCATCTCATCAGTCTGCGTGTGTTTCATCTCGCCAACCAGGTAGACGGGCGATGGCAAATAGTGCCCCTGGCCAAGCCCCATGACCTTGGCTCGTGAGGGCTTCTTGACACCGGCGACACCCGCCCCGGCTGCTGCCACTGCTGCCCCACCAGCCCCCTTGTCCGCGACACTGGTCAGTGACCCTCTCGCACTTGCTGACCGGATGAGGGAGCGGGCAGCAGCTGCTGCTGCTGGCGGGGCCGCTTTCTCGTCCTCTTGTGTGGCGTCATCAGCCGCCATGCCGGACTGGCCGGCAACGGGGAGAAGGATGGTAATGGCATCGGCGGCTGTGATGCTGTGCGCAGGTAAGGCAAGACAGGGCATCGCACAGCAGAGCAACAAAATGAGTGGCTGCGTCGGTGGGCCTTTTTGTGTGAGAGACATTCTGTGTGTATGTGTGTGTGTGTGTGGTTGGCTACCCTTGCGTCTCCCACGATGCCTGCATGGTGCAGCTGGAGAGCGGCATGGCCTTGAGCACATGGCCTTTGTTCTTGCTGACGACAGTCACAGGGGAGGGGAGGGAAGGGAGAGAGATGCAATCGAGCTGCTGCGCATCGCTACTGACCGTGTTGGCTCGATGTCAAAGGCCTCGAGGTAGCGCGTGGCGTACTCGTCAGCCAGCAGGCTGACCAACTCATCGCCTGACAGGGCCTGCATGGCATGGATGGCACACACACACACAACGCCGTCATTTTTGTGTGCGGGGAATGTCATGGCCTACGTCGGGGTGAATGCCCCTCGCCAAAAGCACTCGTATCTCACGCAGACATAGACTCATTTTCGGTTTGTTCCAACGGTTTTCGCGTGAAGCTCGCGTGACGTTTTGCTGATGTGACGCCTTTTTTGACAGCCGCAGCTGTTCCCGACTCCCTCATTTGGTAGATCTGCCCTCTGTAACTTTCATCTTTGTCAATTCCACTCGTATCTGTGCCGCCATCCATCTCTCTGTCCCCTTTGTCAAGCATCGCATCTATCGTACTGAGCTGCCTGCCTACCTGCCGGCCTACCTGCCTGCCATGTCCCCTCGAGCATCTTTTGTGTTTGTTGCGGCTGCTGCTGTTGTTGTGGCGTCTGTAAGGGGCCAGTGCCCCATCCACGACGGCACTGAGGAGATGTTTTTCAACGTCAACACGGGCACATGCGAGAAGCTCTTCAGCGGAGGTACACACACACACACACACATAAACACGGGGGGGCTGCAGGAAGGGCATTCAGATCATCATCACTATGTGTGTGTGTGTGTGTGTGTGTCTGTGCAGCTTCGGTGTCCCCAGTGACTGCCGATGGCGATGAGCTGTTCCATTACGGTACGGACACCACGCGCATAGACGCAGAGAGCATGCCCAGCTTGTGTGTGTGTATCGCTATCGATATGTGCAGGTCGTTTCGAGGTGCGTGTGCGTCCGGTTGTGTGCGAGGGGGCCGTCATGTCCTTCTTCCTCTACAGACCCAACTCCACCCACCCGATGGCCGCATGGTGCGCCAAACACACACACACACACACACACACACACAGAGAGAGAGAGAGAGAGATCCACACATCTGTGACCTGTGTGGACTGTGTTGTCAGGTCTGAGCTGGACATCGAGATATTCGGCTCGTCGCAGACGCTCTCCTTCAGCAGCTCGGCTGCCCGCCTCTTCCAGACCAACATGATCTGGAGCGACCCCAACAGCACCCAGAGGTCGCTCAGGCAGCGCATTCACGACGCCAGCGACTGGGGCGTCGAGAAATGGGGCGAGGAGTTCCACACAATCGCCATCGAGTGGACACCTGGTGCGTGGATGGCACCGCTCACACCCACACCAACACACACGAGCACACGGTTCTCCCACTCCCCCCCCTCTCTCTCTCTCCGTGTGAGCGTGTGGCAGATTTCGTGGCCTTCTTGTTCGACCACCGGACAGTCCGCAGGGAGACCGACCCGGCGCTGCTGGCCCACTTCAGGGAGCCTTTGTCGCTGCACCTGAACCTGTGGCCGATGAACAAGCACATCAGCCGCTTCTGGGGCGGCACCTTCGACAACCGCATGTACTGCGGGGGCGGGGCGGCCGTCACGGGGCTGGTCGACTATGTGGAGGTGTGGAGACTCGACCAGGAGAAACACGCGTTTGTGGTACGCTCGTGACACAGATGGGGGCGAGCGCAGACACGTGTGTGTGTGTGTGTGTGTGTGTGTCTGTGGTGTGTGTGTCAGTCGCTTTGGAGAGACGATTTCGAGGGCGTGGTTGATGCGCATGATGGCGGCCACTGGGTGCGGGGGGACTTCACCTTTGACGTCAACCGGGCGCTCTTCCGGCCAGAGAACGTGCGAGCCGTCAACGGCACCCTGCACATGACCCTCGACCGCATCAACCTCACAAAAAACATCGAAAAGAGCCCTCCCCGTAAGCACACCTCACAACACACACAACGAAAAGGTACCTTCTCCTGCATCCGCTCTCTCCCTCCCTCTCCCCTTGTTCAGTGCCGACGTCGTGCCACCAGCCATCCACGGAGAACTCAGGCCCCCATCTCGTGTCGCAGCCGATGACGGGCATCGCGTCGGCCGCCATGTGTCAGCGCGAGTGCCAGACGAGGTGGGAGTGCGCGGCCTTCACCTACGACGGCAGACGGGGCGAGTGTGTGCTGCATCGGGAGGGGGGCGAGCCGCGCCAAATGGGCGGCCCGTCGATCGTTTCCGGCCCACAGCACTGCGGTAAGCTAAGCCCGCAGAAAACAGAGAGGGAGAGAGAGAGGCGCGTATCATCTCCTTCTCTCCCTCTCTCGCCCTCTCGTGACAGTGGAGTGGTGCTTCGACGAGCTGCCCACGGGGTACGAGCCCAATCCTTTCCACCGCCTGGCCCACCACACCGTCCTCTCCCAGCGTCAGTGCCAATTCATGTGCAGCCAGGCCATGGCGTGCGGGGCCTACGTCTACCACCCAGAGGGCGTCACTGACGACATCGATGAGACGGGCGAGCCGGTCACTTTCAACTGCGAGCTGAAGCGGTTTTTGTTCAACAAGCCGGTCAGGGGCACCGACACGTCTGCCCGCAGCGCTGTCAAGCGGGCGTGTGGATACCCTCTCGCAAGAGAGCTGCCAGAGGGTACAGACCCGGGGACACAGAGAGACCTGAAAGGTGTCCTCTGCATCCCCTCTCACTCTCTCTCTCTCTCTCTGTGTGTGTGTGTGTGTGTCAGAGGTTTCGTGTTATCGACGTGGCGAGCTCTCAGGCATCGGTGTGGGTCTGGTCGAGCCGGTCAAGGAAGCGTCAGAGTGCCAGGCCGCGTGCGCACGGACGCCCCAGTGTCACTATACGGGCTATGGCGAGTGGGGCAGCTGCTACATGGTGGGATGGAACGGCACCATTCGGGAGAATAAAGATGCCGACCTCCTCGTCGGCCCCAGAAGCTGCGGTGAGTGATGGACACAATGATTCAAAGGATCTTGATGCGTTCTGTGTGTTTGTGTTGGTTGCGTGTGTTTGCAGATGAGTCATGTTATGACCGCGGCTTCATCTACGCCGCCAACGATCCGTCGGCCGCTGTGGGTGAGTCCGACGGCAGTGACGGGCCTGAGGGATGCGACAGGGCGTGCAAGCGGGCGGAGGGGTGCCGGTACTTCACATGGACCGGCCCACAGTGCCAACTCATCAAAAAGGTGGGTGGCTGGGCTGGGAGAGACTTCATACATAGCCACACACATGTGTGTGTCGACCACAGGGCCTTCAATCGCCTCTCCACATCACCGCGCCCCCCTCTTCCCCTCCCTCTCCCTCCAAACAGTCCTGCACCGACCTCTGTGACGACAATCCCGACTGCGACGAGGCCACGTACCAGCCACCCACATGCCACCTCAAGTCGAGAAAACACCCCATTTCCCTCGTCGACGGCTACTTCAACGACCACATGATGCAGCACGTGTCAGGCCCAGCTCCGTGCCCCGACCGGCGGTCGGCTGACGAGGGGCGGCCTGGTGCTGATGGTGGTCAGGGTGTGTGTGGTGAGGGTTATGTGTCGGTGGGTGTGGGTGTGGGAGGGTCGTCGTGCTATCGGGTCAGCTATGAGATGGCCACGTGGAGGGAGGCCGAGAGCATCTGTCGACAGGAGGGCGGGCATCTCGCTGTCGTCGACACCGAGGTATGTCGACACATGGCAATGGCTGCATGTCGGAATGCATGTGTGTGTGTGTGGTGCAGGCGCGTCAGGCATCGGTGATGTCTTTGTTCTGTCCCGACGGCTCGTGTCGCGTCCCTGCCGGCGGGCTCCACGACAATGCATACTGGATCGGGCTATACCGAGTGAGCCATTTGGCAGTGGTCGGACACACACACGACGTCGTGTGTTCGTGTGTCAGGACGAGCAAGACCACTGGCAGTGGATGGACCAATCCAATGTCACGATGACGCCGCCCACAGCAGCAGATGAGCCGGGCGAGTCATGCGCCCTTATCCAGGTGGTCACCCACCCCTCCCACACTCACACCAACACACATGCATTCACACCTGCATGTGGTGGGTGTTGTCTGCAGCCGATGAGCATCGAAGACGGCTCGCCCAGTGGTGGGTGGCTGACGGCCCCCTGCCACTACCAGTGTGTCCACGAGGTCATCGACGCACCCAAGTGGCAGAATCTGCCCTACTGCACCGCAAATGGGAAGGCCGGTAAGGCCAGATCAACGAGAACGAGAACGGGATGAGATGTGTGAGTCGTGGGTGCACATTGTGGATGGTGTGTGTGTGTGTGTGTCAGGCAAGGCGACCCGCGTTGTGCGTCGGTACATCTGCGAGAAGCGGCGGAACGAGACATCTACAAAGCTGCTATCTCTCCCACCTCCCCCACCACTCGTCAGCCCAACAGGTACACCAACACACAGAGAGAGAAGGAGGCATATTTCTCTCTCTGGCCAATCATCCTACGCCATCTTCCCCTTCAGTGTGCCCCGCCCCCGGCTGCTGTCTCAACGGCCGCACTCTGCACGGCACCGTCCTCACCCACCCACGCCCATCGGCACCTGTCGGCAGCCTGCAGGAGTGCCAGTCGCTGTGTGCGAGGCGGCCCGGCTGCTTCCACGTGGTGCACGGCTGGCGGGAGGGCACCTGCGTCATGTATGGGTGGGACGCTCAGGTGGCTGAGCAGGGGGGCGAGCACATGGTCGCCGCGCCGAGGAGCTGCGGTGAGCCGACTTGAGCAAGAACAGAGGGGAGAGGGTGGATGAATGGATGGATGGGTGTGTTTGCTGTCTGTTGTCTGGTGGGTGTACAGATATGAGCTGTGTGGAGGAGGGGTTCATCTACCATCCGCCGCGTGGCGCGCGGCACTACCACACGGCGACGGTCAACGCGACGGGCGGGGCGGCGTCGTGCCACCTCGTGTGCCAGCAGAACAAGGGCTGCACCGGCTACACATGGAGCCCACCAGAATGCCAAACCAGAGACGCGGTGAGACTCTCTCCCTCGCCCTCTCTCTCTCTCTCTCCCTCTCCCTCTCTCTCTGTCTCACCCTGCGCTTATGTGCTTTGTCTGTGTGCAGGAGAGCGACACGGTGCTGCATTCTTTCCCCGCACCCGATTCGAGGTCGTGCCCACCTGCAGCCAGCACCCACTACCAGCCGCCCACCTGCACACTCATCCTCACCGACGCGCAGCCCCCCTTGCCCCTCCCTCCCACCAGGCAGCTCATCCACCCAACATTCAACCGCAAATACGTCTCGGGGCCGGCCGCGTGCCCCTCACGTAGCGCGGCGAGCGCGTTCAAGGGGCAGAGTGACGATGCCGATGGCGGTCAATGTCGGGATGGCTACTTTGGGTTGAGAAACGGCGAGTGCTATCGTGTTGTGTGGGAGCAGCAGGGGTGGGAGGGCGCACAGGCGGTGTGTGAGCAGAGTGGGGGGCACCTGGCCACCGTCAGAGACGAGGTGGGTGTAGAGAGAGGGAGGGAGAGACGGGGGAGTGGGTGTATCGTGTGTGTGTGTGTGCCTACAGGCCGATTTGTCATCTCTGTTGGGGTTTTTCTGTTCCGGTTCTTCAGCGGCCAGCTGCCACATCCCCGCACCCCAGGGCACTCATGACGCCATCTACCACATAGGCCTGCATATCGACGTACGTCAGCAACCCACAGATACAGACATGCCCATTGCGCTCCTGTGGTTTGTGCAGCTGTCTGCAGAGCCAAGGACGTGGCGCTGGATCGACAACACGACGCTCACAGGCGACATGGTGGCCATGATGCGCGAGCTGGCCCGAGCGCGTGGCGGAGGCGACAATGACGGACCTCTCTGCGCATACATCAAGGCAAGCGCACTCTCTCTTGAGTTGAATCCTCTCGGATGTTTTGGTATGTTTCGTATTCCTTTCTCCGATGCATTGCATTGCAGCCGCAAGAAGTGTCAACGGGCCGCCCCGCCCCACCCACACAGCACTGGGGCCTCCACCCTTGCCATGGCCACTGTGAAGAGACCCCGTCCTCCGACAGCCACCATGCGTCGACCACAGCCGCTCTTCCCCCCTGTGTGACCCCAGGCCACCACATTGGCCGTCTCGTCGCCACAAAGCACCCATTCATCTGCCAGCAGCGGCAGCAGCAGCAGCAGACGACGACATACTCGTTGCCAGAGCAGCCGGAGCTCTCCCCAGCGGCCGTCCTGTCATCCGATGTGGCGTGCAGGCGCATTGCGGTGGACATCGCGGCACCCACCATTGGCAGTGCGCTCGTCGGCGTGAGCCTGGCGGCTTGTCAAAATCGGTGCCAGCAGAGCCCTGAGTGTTTCTCGGTGGTCTATCGGGTGGTTAACGAGGAGGGCATGGCCACCGAGTGCCTGATGAAGGGGTGGGGCGGTGCTGGCGGCTTCCGCGAGGACCTGTCGGCCGTGTGGGCGCCACGCAGCTGCGGTAGGCTGACACAGACAAAGGTACTGTCACCACACAAAGACGGCTACATTATCTCTCCGTGTGTCTGCAGACAACACGTGCGCCAATGAGGGCTTCACGATCGACGACACCTCCCACCGCCCCTTTCTCGTCCTCTCCACCAGCAACAGCAGCAACACCAGCAGCAGCGAAGAGGGCCCATGGTCGTCCCGCAGAGGGTGCAGCGATGCCTGTGGCAAGGACGGCAAGTGTGCGGCTTTTGTGTGGCGGTCGGCCCTCTGTCGGCTTATGGCATCTCACGGCGACCAAAGGAGCCTCTTGGCCGAGGTGGGAGGGGCGCCGACCGATGAGCTATGTGAGGCGGCGTGTGACGAGGAGCCGTCGTGTGTCGCCCACGAGCTCGAGCCGCCCTCGTGCTCTTTGTTCGGCGGCCCACGGCCGCCCCTGGTGCCTCTGCACCCAGCCTATGTCCGCAGCATACAGGTAACCTATATACCAAAGCACCACCACATGCACACGGATCGACCTGCGTCTCTTCTCTGTCTCTGTGTAGAGCACCTATGCCGGTCCAGATGGCTGTCCGCTCAGGTCCTCTCGGGTGCTGGCGGCCCATCACAGCAGCACCCAGCAGCAGCAGTGCACAGAGGGCTACACGGATATCGGCGGCTCCTGCTACAAGCTACAGTTCGGCCGCCTGTCGTGGGAAGAGGCGAGCAGCCAATGCGAGAGGGAGGGCGGGCAGCTGGCCGCCTTCGACACGCAGGACGGCCTCTCGCCGTTCGATGCGCTCTTCTCTGGTGCCCCTTATCACGTGCCCGAGCGCGGTGAGCAGGACGGCGAGTACTGGGTGAGTCTCCGCAAACATCAGAGGGAGGGGTGGGGGTGGGTCGGGGGCCATACACACGGGCAGCACGACGGCGACCCACATGTGGATGAGAAGGGCCTCAACCAAGGCAGCTGCGGGATCATTGAGGTACGGGATTTCGACTTCACCCATTTCCCGTGTGCTTATTGTGGCCTGGGTGCTCTCCCTGTGTCTGTGTGTTGTGTGTGTATGTTTGCAGAGGTCTGCTGGCGGTGAGCGGTTGAAGGCCCTTTCCTGTGTGTCCAAGCGGCGCTTCGTGTGCGAGCAGAACAACGCCTCTGTGCTGCTGGCCGGCAGCCAGGCTGGCGCAGCAACACCCGACGAGCATGAGCATGACGACACCTACCTGGTGGTCAGAGTGCTGGGAAAGGACTACGACCAGATCACGGCCGTGAGCACCAGACACCCACAGACACACACATGGACACACACAGGGGTCACCCGTATCTATGTGTGTGTCTGTGTTGTTGTCAGGATGCCACTCAGCTTGACGGCTTCCTGACGGATCTGCAACACACCCTCACTGAGTCGTTTGATGAAGCGCTCGACGCAGCGCGGGCATCCGGCCGAGCGGTCAGCAGGAGGGCCGCCAACGTGCAGATGATCGGCGTCATGAGGGGATCCGTCATTGCGCTCTTCCGGTAACTAACACCACATGCACACACAGAACAACAGACCGACCTCATCCTCTCTGTGTGTGTAGGTTGCTGAACGTCAAGTACTCGGACTCACTGCCTGTGTGGGAGAGCATCCTCGCCAACGCGTCCTCACCCATCCGCTCGACCACCGCCTTCTCTGTCGACCCCTCCCTCTCATTCATGTTGATGCCCTCCCCGCCCCCCCTGCCCGTCTCGTCTGACTGCGACCACCACCGCACGTGTGCACCGTCATTCTCTTATTGGGAGGCGGAGGACCAAGAAGAGGCAGCCACCAAGAGCGGCCTTGGTGGTGGTGGTCCTGCGCGTGGTGGTGTGGATGGGAGGCCACTTGAGGACCCTTGGGCCACTTCCCTCCCGCTGCACATCTACGTGCTGATTGGCTTCGGTGCCGTCATGCTGTTGATTCTGCTCGTGACGGCCGGGGCGCTCCTGTGGGTTCGCCGCACCACAACGGCCTCTGATGCGCTGCAAGGGAGAGGGAGGACCAAGTCGAGCGCCCTGCCGATGACCCGCAAGAGCGTCCGGTTCGAGACGCAGGACGACAAGGGACAGCATACTGGCGACTTTGATGATTCGCCACCAGGAGAGCGCTGCTGCCAAGGAGAGGGACAGCAGGGGGACGAAGCACCAGAAGAGGCGGGCAAGTGAGAGCGGCGTGAACCCTCATGCGATAGTGCCCGGGAGCGACCCGCTGACGCCCTCTGTTCTGGCCTGCGACAGGCAGACTTAAGTAGCTGGAGGGGCGGACGGTGGAAGTCTCTGTGTAGTGCGTGCGTGCTCTTTTATGTGTACAAAGGTCGATGTTTTATCAATCAACCTTTGTTCAGTTCAATGGCTGGAGGAGGGGGGGACTCTGGGTGACTTACATGATGGATGGAGGCATGTGACTGATGTGTGTGTCGTGTGTTGGTGAAGGTTTCTGTTTGTGGCGAGAGGGAGGATCCCATGGCATTACATCGTCTCCAAACGGTGTGATCCTACATCCCACACCATGAAAAACATCCGCCACCCACCACCCGGCCACCACACACACATGGGCAGTCTGTCGACCGACTAGCCCGCCCCCACCCCACCGCATCACGCGTAGAAACACACCACATGCTCGCAGCCACACGACCCGTCAACATATCAGTCAGTCAGTCAGTCTCGAACACAGCTGCCTGCCTGCCATCTGCCATCTGCAATGGCCAGACCGACAAGAGGGCTCTCCGGGTAACACTCGAGAGTTGAAAGATGAATCAATTAGTCTACGGCTATGGCCAGCTTGTTGCCGAACACCACCTGTGCATCGTCCCCCATGACCTCCCGCACCACCCTCACTGTCTCGGGGGGCGCCGCCGCACCCTCCTGGGCATCCTCAGGGAGCTCTGTCGTCTGGAGCCAGGTCATGGCACACTCGGGCACGCTGTCGATGAAGATGTGAGCCTCAAATTGGTGGTCCGGCTGGTCGCCATGCAGCACGATGGTGCGGTCGGAGCTTCCTCCTGCTGCCGGACGGTGGAACGTACTGATGGTGCGGCAGCCCCAGATGGGCGGCGGCTGAGTGGCGAGCTGCCGCTGAAGAGAACAGTGAGATATGACAATGAGCGAGTGGGACAGCTGGTGAGGTAGTCGTGTGTGAGTGTGTGGCTGACCAGTCGGTTCAAGCGTGTGGCATCGTCGGACTGGATGGCCAGCTGGAACGCGACAAATGGCCCTCCCCGACGCACCCTGATCAGACACATCATGGCAGAGCGGTGCAGCCAATGTCTTTATGTGTTCGTGTGTGTCATTCTGCTCATCCCTCCCTCTCACACATGCAACACAGCGTCGCGGACTGAAGCATAGTCATCAGCTGCACACAGCAATACACACACGCAGCCAGGTCGTCCATTGCCCACAGTCCTCCCTCCCTCCCGCCCTCACCAGAAAACCGGCACACGGGGTTGGCCTCGTCAAATCCATTGCGGAAGGGGTGGTCGGCCGGCAGTGTGTGCAGGAGGCGAATGACCAGCCGCGCCCCACCCAGCCGCTCCTCGCCATTGGGGTCGGGGATAAACTGTCCACACAGACATGACAACAGACACACAGAAGGTGAGAGCTCAATGCCGATGTGGCGGCCGATGAGTGAAAGCTGCCGCAGCGCCTTACACCGCGTGACGTGACAGGGTCGCGCTCGAACGTCACAGCCGCAGCGCCTCACACCGCCCCTCAAACACCGCCCGGCTGCCCACCCCCTCCACATCAGCACTGCCCAGCTCTATCGGCAACTTCACGCCTCTCCGCCCCTGATGCTTGGCCACCCTGATGATTGGCTCCCACCCGGCCCACTCGCCGCTGTTGTCGATGATGTACTGCCGACACACACAGACATGACAACAGACACACAGAATATGAGAGCCGGAGTCCGTCCATCACGTGTGTACCAGCAGGCGCAGGAGGAAGGCCATGGGCCGCATCCGCACACGTGGCCGCACCCGATAGCTGATGATGTTGCGGATGTTCTTGGCCACCAGCAGCCGGTTGATTTGCGATTTGATGTAGTCCTCAGACACACGGTGGGTGCCGAGGGGGCAGGTGCGGCGGAGAAGGACGAGGCCGTCGCGGCCGAGCAGAGGGAAGAAGACGACTCGCTGGACGTCCTGGGGCAGGTCGAACAAACGATGCTGCTGGTTGGCCGAGGGAGCAGCGCTGGAGGCAGCTGCTGAAGGCGACAATGGGCCCTTCTTTCGCTTCTTCATCATCCGTCTCTTGCGCTGCGAGCTCAATCATGAAGAGGGAGTGTTGGAGGTTGGACGGTTTCGTAGGGATGCCAGTGGAATGCGGGGCGATGTGCTGAGCACTGTCATTTCATCCATCTGAGCGGCGCTGACCATCAGAGAGGAATGAATGCAACAGACGACTAAGGCAGGCAAGCCCTGACCCAGGGGCGCTGACGGCGAAATGATGGAGATGGACGAAGAGGACGGCCTGGCTGCCTCTAGATCTGCAGGTCACGTCACCTCACCACCGCCACAAACGCACCTGATGGACAGCCCCGATGTTTCTTGCCCTGTGTGTGTGCTGACTGTGTGCCGCAGGTGGGCAGAGTGCAGATGATGGCCGTGGGAGATCTCGTAATCTTCTGCAGGAGATACTTTCGATGCGTTCGGTCAGACGGGATCCTCCACACATGCAGCAGCAGGAGTGGTGTGAGTGTGTTGGTATTGGCTTGCAGGTCGCCTCTCGGTTTGTGTCTGATCTTGACGGGGCAGAGCGCATGATATCCTTACAAACCGACAGCGATACACAGGTCCGTGAAATGCGAAACAGCGGGCCGAACAGCAGCACTCGGTTGTTCTTCGTGTTGCTGTCGGTGCAGGATGGTGTGTCGATCGCCGACAGTCTGGCAGCCATCCGGAACACTCTCATCGACGCCCACTCGGCCCTCACCAAAAACCTGGCGGTAAGGGTGGGATCACTGCTGAATGAATGGCTCACACTTGCCGATCACTCTCCTCTGTGTGTGTGTGTCAGCGCATTGGCGGCAAGGCGTTCCGATGGGATGGCAATGCCTACGACAGCGAGGCGGCGGGCGGTGCTGTGACGTCGAATAAGACCACCACCGACCACACCGATCCATGGCGGTACGCACATGCAAACATGCACACTCAGATGGACCAGCTCATCGCGATGGCATCTTTGCTGCCTGCGTTGTGTCCGTGCAGGTGTCTGCTGGCGGTGACGAGGGCAAGCGTAGACGTGTAGCTATCGAAGCGCCGGCTGCTGGAGGTACACACCAACCAAACACGCATACCCACGCAGAGAATGCATCGTGCGCATCGTCGTGACCGTTCTGTACCCTGTTCCGTTGTGTGGTGTTGTGCCTTTCCAGGTGGATCGGTGGATGTCTGTGGCGCCGACTCAGAGGTGACGCATACACACACAAGAGATATGGCCATCTCTGCACACACTTGCCGCTTGCGATGGTTATTGGTGTGTATCAGCCGGGTTACGGCGATCCGTGTCTGTCGGGCCTGCCAAAGGAGGTGTTCAACCACATTGGCTCCTTCGTCACCACCAAGACGTCAGCCCGCCTGGCCAAGGTCAACAGGGACATCCTCACGACGGCCACCGACGAGACGTGGGGCCTCTTCCGCCACTTTACTGTGATGGAAGACGAACAGGATAGCTACAGCAAGATACGGGACGTGAAGACGGAGATGCAGCACATGGTGAGAGAGAGGGGGGGCGTGGGCACATGGATGAAATACATGGTGGGATGTGTGTGTGTGTGTGTGTGTGTGCAGGGGAAAGTCAAGAGTGCGTCTGTGCGGGCATCGGACGTGGGCTCGCTGGTCGTGTTGTCGAAGTGCTTGTCATTCAGGACGACACTCGAGGAGCTCACACTGGACGTCGCTGCTCATTTTGCATCTATGTCGTCAACGATATGGTGTTCCCCGGAGTGACATGCCTCCATGTCCAAAAGGATTCCACCATCAGGCACATCAGGTATGTCCAAAGGCAAGTGTGTGACAGTTGATGGCTACATCCAGTCATGTCAGTGGTCGACATGCCATGTGTTGATGCATCTGCAGAAGACACCGGTGGAGCTTCCCGGCCCTTAACACCCTCCGAGTGAGCGAGGACGTCTTCGACGTTGGCTTCCACAGAGGGTTAGCCTCCCAGGCGGCCTTCGAGTCTCTCCTCAACGGGTCACCCGGGATCGAGCACCTGGAGGGCGACCACCGCATCGAACTCGACGACGACCATTGGGCAGACTTCCTCGCTGCCCTCGGCCGCTGCCCCAACCTCAACACCATCACTGGCCTGGTGATCCCCATCCACCGCAACAACGTCACGGGCCGCCTCAATCAGCTCAAAGCCGCCCTCAACCGACACTGGGGCACACCGGAGAAGAAAGGTGACTGACACAGGCACACGAGCACTTCATTCATTCAGGGGGCGGATGACTTGCATCTGTCTGTCTGTTTTACCCGTTGCAGAGGTGCCGAAGAAGCTGGGATTTGTGGTGGAGAATGCCACCATCGACGGGGCTACGGCCAGCAGGGAACGTTCGACATCTCGCAACTTGACATCTCGGGTATCCGCGCGTGGGCCGCAGACGTCAAGTGCCGGCTCGACTGGTGGCCAGCCCGCAGGCCGCTGCTCATCGACTGCAGCACGATGGCTGCCACTGCCCCTCCTGCGCCCGGCGGCCTCTACGGAGAGATCGCCACGCGGCTGGCGGCCAATGCGACCGAGGTGAGGGAGGCACAGACAACGGGAGAGAGATCATCAGAGAGGGCACCATGAATGTGTGGAGGCATCAGTGGGTGTATGTCTGCTTTTTATGTCAGATCAAGTTGATGCTCGGTGGCACAGCGCTGCACGAGTCGTGGCGTGACAAGCTCATCTTCAGCAACGCCCGCACACTCACCATCGACATTAAGGCGGGCGCGAGTGTATCAGAGGTGGTCGACAGTATCCCTGAGTGGCTGACCGAGAGGGAGGGAGAGGGGCAGGGGCGAGCAGCCGACATTTCCCGGCTGTCAAGAAATTGACGGTGTGCTCGCTCTCTTTGTCCTTGGCTGACGTGCGTGCCGCTTGCAGCAAGCTAGGCTCGTTTTTGGGCGGCCTGACGACAGTCAAGCGCGTCGAGCTCGTTGATGCGTCTGGCTTCGCTGCCGCCCTGTAGATGAGCTAGATGAGGTCGTGTTGGACTGGCCGACAGACACCTCTGCCACACGGGGTGTCGGCTGCCCTCCCATATACCGCCTGGTTTGTCGTGACTTGTCCTGTAAGGCAGGCGTGGCTGACTTCATGAAGCTAGCCTCAGCCCTGCGACCAGCACGTGTCGAGCTGCTGACACAGCTGTCTGAGAGTGAGCTGGAGGGACAGAGCGAGACCGATAAGCTGGCCGACCCCCGCTTGTTTGCGGGTGAGCGCGACAGACAGCTCGCAGCGTTGTACACTCTCAAGCAGAGCATTGGGAGGGATATTTCCTCACAATGCTCGATTGAGGTGCATGCACAGGTGACAGGGGGGCTGGGAGGGATTGCCGTCTTGGTGGATGGATGGATGCTCGTGAGGCTGGGGTGCGTGCCCTTTCTATCTGTCCACACTCTTGTCAGCTGTTCTGCCCATGACCACACACACGACTCTACCAGCCTGTCTGCTGTTGCCTGCTGTCTTGCGATTCATTCCTCGCCACCTTGCCTCTTCCGACCGACCAGCCAGAGAGTGCGTCCATCCACTCATTGGTGTGTCAGTAGTCGGTGGGGTGAGGGCGCCGGGCGGGCGGGCAGAAGGCAAGGACACGAGTGAGCAGAATGTTGTGGGCATGGACGGTTGGATGTGCATCATGGATTCTGGCTTGCTTAGGCCTTGAACGCTACAGCATCCATCAGCAATGCACCCAGCCATATCGCATGCACAGAGTGGAGCGAAGAAAAACGGACAGCGATTCACATCACTCGGTTGTTTCGCCACGCACACACCTACTCACCACTCCTCAAATCCACCGCAAACAGCATTGGTTCGTCTTTTTCTTCTCTGGGCGAGCTGTGAGCTTGCAGGAAGAAATAGGGCGCTCACGGAATGCTTTGCGACGATGAGAAGCCTTCACTGAGAGGCCGTACTCACATCTGTGAATCGGTGAGCGTTGAAAGATGAGAGGAATGGCCAGCTGGAGGGATGGGATTCGCATTCTGTGCCTCTGCACTCTTGTTTGCAGGCGTCTGTGTTTGGCCAGTCACTGTGCGGCGCCATGGCAGCTGCAGCCTCATCTTCATCTGCAGCTGCTGCAGACCTCCCGCAGCCACAGGTACGTGTAGCTCATTCACTCAATCATTTGGTTCATCCATCCATCCATCCATCAGATGCCGCCGTCGTCCCGCGAGCGCTACAAGACCGGCACTCGTGTGTGGATGATGACGGCCAATCGAGAGAAGGGCGAGCAGGAGTGGGTCAAGGCCGACGTCTATCGCACTGAGGAGACCGGCGGAGGCACGAGAGTGTCGATGAGGGAAGTAGAAGGGCGAGAGAATTTCGTCGTCGTGGTGCCGCGCGAGGCCAACACATCGCCGCACAGACAACAGGTAGGCATTCTCATGTGCCCATTGGTCTGGTGACTGCTGAGGGATCCACCTTTTGTGTGTGTGTGTGTGTGTGTGCAGGTGCATGATGGCTTCATATTAGTTGAGAGGAGGCCCCGGCATGAGTCCGACGGCAACACGGTACACACGCACACAAACAGCCACACAGACAGCCACGCATATCTCTCATTCTGCCGCCTTTCCCCTCAGGCCGGCCAGCACATTGGCCTGTTTGACCTGTCACCGGACGTCGAGCGTGACGTCGTCTTCGCCCTGCTCGGCCCCGATGGCTCGCCCGCCTCCGCCGCACCTGCACACTCGGCAGTCAGCGTGTGTCGGAGGCCTATGTCAAGAAGCAGATCGATGCACAGCTCGTCGACAAGGGCCTCAAGGACATCCTCAGCTATGACCTGCCATCCGTCGGCCATCTGCTGCAGCTCCTGTGCATCATCCAGCACAGCGGCGAGTGGGCGGCGTGGGAGCCCATCATCAGGGTGGCTGTGCATCAGGGGCGGGGAGGCGGGCAGTTGCCGATAGAGCTGGGCAGTGCTGATGTGGAGGGGGTGGGCAGCCGGGCGGTGTTCGACGGGCGGTGTGAGGCGCTGCGGCAGCTCTCACTCATCGGCCGCCACCTCGACACGACGCTCGAGCGCGACGATGATGGCGAGGAGTGCCTGGGCGGGTCTCGGCTGACCATCCGGCCACCGCACACGCTGCCGGCGAACCATCCCTTCCGCAATGGATTCGACCCGAAGAATCCCGTCTGTCGGATTGGAGGTGAGCAAAGGGGGGGATAGCTGTGGAAGGGGACCATTTGGTTGCGTGTGAATGTGCGTGTGTTTGCAGCTTCTGAGTTTGCTTCAGTTCGCGACGCTGTGTTGGATGAGTGAGAGGGAGGGATGAGCAGAATGATACACACGAACATACAAACACATTGGCTGCACCGCTCTGCCGTGATGTGTCTGATCGGTCAGGATGCGTGAGGGAGGGTCGAAGGTCGCGGCCCAGCTCGTCTACCAGTTCAACGATGCCCCACGGTTCAACCGACTGGTCAGCCACACACCCTCCCACACACACACACACACAAAGCACTTCACCCGCTGCCCCACTCACCCAGTGTCATATCTGCCTTTCTCTTCAGCGGCAGCTCGCCACTCAGCCGCCGCCCATCTGGGGCTGCCGCACCATCAGCACCAGACACTGGGCAGTAGCAGGATCCTTCTTCTGCTTGATAGTGCTGCACGGCGACCAGCCGGGACAGACATTCGAGGCACACATCTTCATCTACAGCAGCCCCGACCATGCCACCGCCTCCCTCTGGACGACGGAGCGTCCGGTGGATGGCAGGGAGGGTGCGGCCAGGTTCCCCGAGACAGTGACGGTGGTGCAGGAGGTGATGGGGGACGACGCTGTGGTGGCATTCGGCAGCAAGCTGGACGTATCCCTCCCCCCAGCTGCTGGTGGTGGTGGCCAGGGAGGCGAGCAGACCACAGGCAAGCACAAGAAGGGGCGGTATACGGATGAGCAATAAACTGGTAGGTGTGAAGGCCTGTGTGGCTGTCTGTAGGTCCTGCTGCTGCCGCCTCGTCGTCATCTGCTGCAGGTCCGGCGATGGGCTACCATTCGCAACACAATGGTACACACACACATTTACACAACGCGCGGCACATAAGTGCACCGGAATAGCCCTTCGCCTCCTCATCCACCACTACAGGCGGTGATTTGATGGACATAGACAGCGGGGACGGCCCGGCATCCGCTGCAGGTCTAACACGCCGCGCCTGATGGACAGCCCCCGTGTGTCATGCCTTGTGTGTCCTGGCTGTGTGACTTAGGTGGGCAGGGCGGCGGGGCGGGTGGCGACGGTAGCTCATCTAGTGATCTCCTGCAAAAGATACGTTCGATGCGTTCGGTAAGACGGGAGAGAAGAGGGCTCAACACACGCAGCATTAGAGATGTGAGTGTGTTGGTTTTGGCTTGCAGGTCGCCTCGCAGTTGGTGTCTGATCTTGACGGGGCAGAGCGCACGATAGCCTCACAAGCTGACAGCACACTGGTCCGCACGAAACACAACATAGCCGAGCAGCAGCACTCTCTTGCCATTCGTGTGTTCGTCTTTTGCCTGCAGGATGGTGCGTCGGCCGGCAGCCTGTCTACCCTCCTGGAGACCCTCACCAAGCAGCTGGCAGAGATCGCTGACCACGACCCACAGGAAAGGCTGCAATGTCATATCAATAACACAGGCCGACACACAAACTCAGGTGGACCATTCATTTTATGTGTTCAGGTGCCTATTAGTGTCCCTTTGGTGTCTGCTGGCGTGTCGTCATCTTCTGCCGCCCCCGCTGCGGCCGCCTCAGCTGCTGCTGTTGGTGCTGGTGATGGTGGTTGTGGTGATGGCAATCGTGGCGAGAAGCGCAAGGCGGCCGCATCATTGGCATCGGCTGGCGACGATGGCGGAGAGGGTGACATGGCGGCCGACGACAGACGGGCGGTGAGGCGGCGTCGCGAGCAGACGGCGAAGGGCGCAGATGGCGGCAGCATGATGGGGGAGCAATAAATACCTGATATCACACACTGACTAAGTGACCACTGTGGTCAGGGAGGGAGGGAGGGAGGGAGGGGCTGACTGACTGATCCAGTGAGATGGATGGATGGATGGGTAGACAGAGAGCTGATAGACAAGCAGACGGGAGGGAGGGAGGGAGGGAGGGAGGGAGGGAGGGGTGCCTTTAGTGATGGATCCACCCGCGGACGGCTGGTGTGATGTGTGTGACGTTGGTGGATGTTCTGTGCGTGATGCTCGACGTGTCTGTGAGATGCAATGCATGATCGGCAGTGCTGGCCGGCTCACCATCCTGACACCCAATCGCAAATGGCATCGGCTCAATCCTCTCCTTCCGCTCTGCGAGCTTTGAGCTCGCGGAGGCGGAGCTGCCGGGGCTATGATGGTGAGGAGATCTGCGCGTCGATGGATGACACCTCACTTGCGTCGTGTTTTGCGCTTTCTCTGCATTCATTCACAGGTCACCGCTATGGCATCTGCGCTTTCCCTTCTCCTGACTGCGTGCCTTGCCTTCGCTCATAGGGTGGCTGGCGTGCGCCAATCGGCTCGTCTCACGTTTCTTGCCCCCCTGGCGGCTCGCCTGCAACGCCCGACTCATCGCCCCGTGCAGAGGGCGACTGCCCTTCACGCAGAGGAGCCAGAGGAGGAGGTACGTACGTGACCGGCAGGCGTGATGAGTGCATTTTTGTGCATTCATTGGTCTTGTCTGTCTGTCTGTCTGTCTGTCTGTCTGTTTGTTTGTTTGTCTGTCTGTCTGATTTTCAGGCCTCCGTGAAAGCGCGGACAGCCAACCCGCCGCCGATCCCGATCTTCTTAGGGCCACTCGAGCTGCAACCATACTGGGAGTCAGTGGATCCCATCCACCTCAAGGCAACACCAATCAAGATACCTCTCACGGAGGGTCTGAAGTTGCTGGTGCGCAAGGCCTATGTTGACATCGCCGAGATCATTATGGACGGGCATAAGAACTTGAACAAGGAGACGTCCTCAAATCGGGGGTACTTTCGCGCTCTGCTGCGTGGCTCATCGGGAGTCGGCTTGACTTGGTTCCTTTTCTTCTTCTTGGCCGTGCTGAAAGCCGAGATGCACCGAGGCGAGAACTTCAAGATCTGGTTCGTGGACAACTCCGATAGGTAAGTCAGCAACGACTTGCTGGCGGCCAGACGTGATCATGTGACCTGTTCGCTCCTCCTGGTTTTCATTCAGGTCATCGAATGTCGACCGGAAGGTGTATGAGCTGTCGAAGGACGGCTTTGTGAGAATTCGCAACCCGCTAGAGACGTTGTTCCAGTCGCTATAGACGCAGCCCGTGGACTCACTACGACGCAACTGGCTGCTGATCGACGGTTAGTTCAGGGCGGGAGGGAACGGGACTGCACGCCTGCGTGTGTGAGAGTGAGTCTCTCTCTCTCTCTCTCTGTGTGTGTGTGTGTGTGTGTGTGGTGCAGGCTTTGAAGGTTCCCTGACTAAGTTGTGGCCGGGCAGCGTCGTGCTGGCTGCATCGGCGCGCAAGGGTAACTACAACGAGTTCAAGAAAAGGCTCACACTCAATCTGGTCATGCCCACCTGGACTGAGGAGGAGGTTTCTGAGGCCCTTGAGGGCACTGAGTGGCTCGACCAGCTGGATGACAAGCGTCCCTATGCGGGTGGCATCATCCGCGATTACCTGAGACCTCTGCCTGAGGTCAAGAAGGATGTGGACCTCGCCCTTGACAACTTGCGGTATGATGTCGTCCGACTGTGGACCGGAGAAGCCCCAGAGGCCAAACCTGACGATGTCCCTGAGACCTTTCTTATGTCCCTGGATCCCGATCCCAAGGTCAGCGGCCCCTACTCCTTTGGGAAGGTCGTCTGGCGCTCGTCTTATATCCTCGGCCGATTCGTCCGCAAGCTGAGCAAGCAGCAGCTGAGAAATGAGCTCGACATCATCATGGACCCCAGAAAGATCGCCGGGCAGAAGGTGGAGCTGCTTGAGGGCCTCGTCCATGAGTTTCTGTCTGTGACCAGGCGCCCGATAAGTCTGGAGCCCCTCGACCACCATATGGAACGTGTGGGCAAGGACTCTCGAGCGTCAAGGATGCAGACGCCGCAGGACACGCTGACGGATGTGATCCGGGTCTCGCTGGACACCACCCAGCAGGACAGTGAGCCCCGTCTGTTCCGTCGCAGCAAACTCCCGAAGAAGCCTTATGGCAACGTGCGCAAGCCTGGCTTCTGGGTGCCCGAGTCCAAGAACTGGCCGGTCATCGACTCGCTGTACATCGACAGCGCTGAAGACGTCATCTACCTCATTCAAGTCACCGTCGACAGCGAGCACTCAGCCCGCGGATTCAACGAAACGTTGATCGACAATTTGAGGACAAGCCCAGCGATCGGGGATGGCGAGAAGACCTGGCGCATCGTGTGGGCCATCCCACAAGGCGGCTCGATCAAGCCGCAATGGCCCAAGAAGAAGACAGGCGAAGACATCGAGGACCGGCTGCTGTTCCACGAGTACGTCTTTGAGCTTCCTGCTGACCGAGCGGTGGAGGAGATCACTGATAAGCCGGTAAGTAAAGGCAATCAGTGATGTGGAGGCGGGGGGCAGGCGAAGGAAACGATGGTTGTTTTGTGTTATGTAGACCCGTGCCCTGTGGAGGGGTTCGGTACTGAATTTGTCCGCTGGTGTTCAGAGTATCTTGGATTCCCCTTAGATTGAGTTTTTTGTCCCCATGTGGCCTTCTTCGATGTGTGTTTTTCGGTGACGACCTTTTGTGTGTGTTTTCGATGACACAAAGCGATGGGTGGATTCAGTAAAGGAGGCAGCAGCGTCACTGCATTGCGACGGACGAGTGAGTACACACATAGACGCATTTTTGAGTGCATGCACAAAAGCCTATCTATTGAAGACCTACTTGTCCTGCACTACACTGTGATGACTGATACGGTTCACATAAAAAAACACACACACACACAAGCGGCAGAGAGAGAGGTCATCGATGGATGTGGGTGCGTCTGTCTGACATGCACACACCCGCCCGCCCATCCATCCATCCATCCATCACATGCGCGTCTTGCGTCACAGCGAAGCGCCAGAACAGGCCAAAGTCTCGTCGGTGGGCTGGCGCTCCCTGCTGATCTTCGTTGACGCGCGTCAGGCGAACGGCCGTCATGGTGGTCAAATCAAACGGCCCCATGTGGCCCGCGACGCCTTCGGGCAAGGCCGGCAGACACAGACGGCTATACCCCTGGCACGCACATAGACACAGAGAAATACGGCAGGGACGCAATTGAGCTGCCCCTCCGCTGTTGTTCTACTGCCGCACCATCACGTGCGCCAGTCGAACCACCTGAAAACGACACCAACCAGCCGTCGTCACGTTTTCAGGGAGGTTGATGTCATATGTACCTAGAAGCTGGGCTGGCGGCCACGCGTGCGCGCTTCCCGTCACTAACAGACACCTGAGCATCGATTGATCCAAACGAGTGTGTGCCCGTCTGCGTGTGTGTCTCTGGACGACGAACTGCCGCTGGACGAGGGGGACTGGCGGTGGGATCGCCACTGTGCGGCAATTCTGATGAAAGCAAGAGATGCAGATCGATGCAGGCGAAGGCGATTGTCCCCTCTGTGGCAGGTGGTGGGCGTACCTCAACTGTCTGTGCGCCTCCGCCTCCTCGTTTCGTCTGGCGTCGTTTTGTTTGTGCCTCGATGGCCTCTCTCTGACGCCGCACCGGCAGCCCTGCCTGGATTGGATCCACGACACTGTATGCGCAGACTCCTCGCTGTCACTCAGCTTTGCTGCGCTGTCTGGATGAATAAGTCACCTCGCCGCTCACTCGCCGCCGCCACAGACAGACAGACAGACAGACAGACAGGCGCGTCAACCTGAAAGGAAAGGGATAGAAGCGGCGAACAGGCCTCCCTTCCTCCCTCCCTCCCTCCCTGCGTGCATTTGATACGACGTACTGCCAGCGGGTGGGTTGTCAGTCGCTCGGTGCCATCCATCCATCTGTCCATCCATCCATCAGCGAGCCAGCCAGCCAGCCAGGCACCTTACCTTAATTGGCAATGTCTGTCCACCTCGCCACGCGATGTGGCCAGTGCCCAGCAGGCAGAGCGGAACCAATCTGACTGACACACACGTGTGCAGCACAAAAACACAAACACACACACACACACACACAGACAAACAAATGAGGCGAATTGATGGGCAAGAGTGTCGTTTTGTGTTCTGCTGTCACTCACCCACTAACCGGGTCTCAGCTGTCCACATCGCTGATTGAACGCATCAAATGCTGTCCAGCGCTTGTGCGATTGCTCGGCGCCCACACAGACGCTCACATCAGAGTGGGACAGATGGATGGGCAGAGTGCAGATGATGGCCGTGGGAGCTCTCGTGACCTTCTGCAGCAGATACTTTCGATGCGTTCGGTAAGACGGCAGAAAAGAAGAATCCTCCGAGAATCCTCCACACATGCAGCAGCAGGAATGAGGCGAATGTGTTGGTTTTGGCTTGCAGGTGGCACCTCCACTACTCGCGGCGGCAGCGGCAGCCGGGCTGGCTCCCACTTGTGAGCCCTTCCCGTCACCAGCAGACACCTGAATGACCACGTGAGGCGGTCCATCAGTACTTGAATTGCATTCATGTGTGTGTATACCGCTTTGCTGAGGTACGCTGCCTTGCTGGCCTCATCGTGGATGTTGTACAGCCACCGAACCAACCTGCCGTCACCGTCTGTGCGCTGATGATGGACACACGCACAGACACACGGAGAGATGTTGGCTCTGGTGCGCCTTCTATTCGTCAGTCCGTCCGCACCTCGTTGTTTTGGGTGTTGGGGGGGATCTGGGCGAGTTCATTGCTGAGCGTCGAGTGCGCGTCGGTGAGGGTCTCCACCACACCAGACAAACGGCCGGCCAGCGATGCACAGGCCTGCAAACAGCACACACAGCTGACTGTCGCCGTATGGCTGCATTCGTGTGGTTGTGCTGACTGACCTGTACAGTCTTATGGGCATCTGGTATCTTGAGCTTGGCCGCCTCCGCGGTCGAGGCGATCTGAGAGGCCACCTGCACACAGCAGAGCAACCAAATACTGCAGCATGTGGGGCAGCGAGTCAGTCGCCCTCCGTGACCCTCTCCTTCTCCAACCGAATGGATCTTATCTATGACATCACTCAAGCTATCATCGCGATCCTGCCGTCCACCCCGCCCCTCTGCAGCAGATCATCAGACACGCCAGCACCGGCCGCCATGACAGAGGTGCTTTACAGGTGCATGTGTTGTCACCTGTGGGTGAGGCCGGGCCGCCAGCGCTCTCTAGATCCATCGGGATGACACGATCAACCACCTGTACAATTAAGTTCTTGCACTCTTCCTCAGTCGGGCTAATCGTGCCTGCAGAGCAGAAGAAGCGACCATCCATCCATCCATCGATCCATCCTGTGTGTGTCTGTGTTCTTCGTTTCTCACTCGTCAGGTGATTGTCGGCAGCCTCCACGCAGCTGCAAATGACATATCGTCAAGAGAAGAGGCCCGATGGCGTCAGCGCTGCCGCCAGCCGTCTGTACAGCCTAAGCCTCTCGTCAAACCTGACAGAGGAGTGACACGCATCCATCCAGGGGGGTGAGCCATGTGTGTTTGTCGCTGCTGTATTGCCTCCTGGCTGCCTGCCTGTGTGATCTCTCTCTGGCTGCCTCAGCGATGCCACTGGCTCATGCATTCTTCATTGGGATATCTATCGTGTGGCCTTACCGATGAGGATGGGATGAAGGCTGCAGGCATCTTCAGCTCACGGCAGCGCCAAATTATTGATCTCCGTGAAACGAACATCTCCGGCAACCTGCAATGGGGCGGACGCATGCAGCCGCGAAACCACGCTTGTCGATGACTGTTTGCAGCGGAATGCTGCAACGGCACGATCGGCAAGCTCGGCTCGCAACGCGTGTCCCTCATCTCCCATTCTCCAAGGATGTTTGTGTGGGTGGCGGCTCTCCACTTGTTCGCCTTCCTCGCAGATCTCGCTGATTCGTCGCAGCTGGCGAAGAGCGCCTTCCTTGCCCCTGCCCCTCGGCCGCTGCGCCGTGATGGCTATCTGCGGCGGCATCGCCCTGATCACGTGACGATTCTCTCAGCATGGGTGAGAAAGAATATGAAGATTGAATCTCCTCTGTGTTCAAAGAGTGTGTGTGATGTGTTTGTGTGTTTGTGTTGGTCATGGCTGTGTGCAGGAGATGCCCTATGGGAAGGAGGGCTCCCCAGAGGCACGTAAGAGACCACCAGCCAGTGCGTGTCTGAGGGGCGACTGTCCATCTCTCTCTCTCTCTCTCTCTGTGTGTGTGTCTGTGTGTCTGTGTGTGATGCAGTGGTCGAGTCGGTCTTCGGTGATCGTGACAGCGACCGTGGCTACCCACCCTGGAAGGCCCGCGCTGGTGCTGACGGCGACGACGCGATGAAGGACATGCTGATGAAGCAGCTCTACACCAATGGCTAGAAGACTCAAAGTGGCTGTCTGTCTGAGAGTCTGTCTGAGAGTCTGTCTGTCTGTGTGTGTGTGTCCATGCAGCAACGTTGTGTTGGTATCTGGTGGACACCTACTGGGCAATGGCGGGCGACGCCTGGCGTAACCGGACTGACTCGGACTTTGCATCCATCGGGCTCGGCGAGAGGCTGGAGAGGCGCCGGGAAATGTTCATCAACATCCTCGCAATTCGTCAGCGCCGAGTTGACCCCAACGGTCGGTCATCGAGCGACACACAAACACGGCCGCAGATGTGCGACTGACGCAGAGATCGATGGCTGTGCATGTGTGGTGGGGTGCAGGGACCCAGACCATTGAGAGGTTCGAACAAGCTGAGAGAGAGCTGAACAAGGCGTGGGCCGATATGTCGGCCCATCCTGACAAGTACCAAGTAGCCGAGAGTGGCGACCCTTATCGCGCCAGGCGTCGCTACTGGGCCTGGCAGAGCCGCTGCGACGCCTGGCAGAAGATATTCGACACCTACGCCGACTCGGCCAATCCCTGTAAGTAGTGGGCACCGACACACCCACCCCATCTCTGCTGCAGTCAATCCATGTGCCCTTTCTCTCTCTGTCCTCGTCACATCGGTGCAGCGATGGAGGTGTTGGTCAAGAAGAAGCAGATCTACCGCGCGGCTGCCGAGTGGGCCGAGAACCACGGTGCTCAGTATCTCGGTGATGCCTTTGCCGACACGGCGAAAGGGCTCAACGAATTCCTGGAAAGGGAGGCCGAGAAGCAGATCATCGAGCGGGTCGAGGGCAAGAAGGAGCCCAAGCCGGCCATCGACGTCAAGGGCATCGACAAACAAGACGTGTGATGTGATCGACTGATGTCAGGCAGGCCGTCAGGTTTTCTCGTCGTATGTTCATTCGTTTAGGTGTAATGAAGGTCAGTCCGGCAGATTTTGTGAGTCGGGTGTTTGGTGTTTTTCCGTCAGTGAGGCAGCGAGCCGTGTGCCGCTGAAATGGTGGTGCATGTGTGAGCGGCTCGGAGGAATTGCGGATGGCTTTATGGCCGGCAATTAATGTGTCCGTTCAGGAGGGATACAGACGGACAGTGGGATCCATGTGTGTGTGTGGGGCGATGGTCTGTATGGTGGATCCGTTGGTGCCGCATGGTATAAGTATGTGTGTGCGTGAGATGCGTGTGTGAATCAGATGGTTTTGCGTATTGGATGCGTCACCTGCTTGACTGCTCCATGTAGTGCGACGTCGACTCATGATTACAGCCCCATTGCAGCGGACCTCTCGGGTCCCATCGCGCGAGCTAAAACAAACAAACGAATGGAGCTCGTATGACCAATGAGAAGCTGAGGGACCGTAATCACGTCTGAGTTGGTGAGCATTGAGATGAGAAGGATGGCTGGATGGATGGGATCCACTGCGTGCCTCTGGTCTTCTTGTTTGCAGTCCTTTCGACCTAGCATGGCGGCTGCAGCGTCATCTTCATCCGCTGCTGCTGCTGCTGATGTAGCCGACTTGCCGCAGCCACAGGTGAATGAAGGGCGCACACACAGAGATACAAAATGCGCCACGGTGCCTCGATGTGGCTCTTCGCTCTCTTCATGTTGGTTCATTTTACCCGTCAGGCAATGTCTGTCGGGCCACGGCCGCCCCACCAGGCCTCAAGAGCTGCTACCCTTTTTGATCAGCGAAGTGGCCCGCTCGGGGGCCAACAGAGGCGCACTCATCGCACAGATCGCCAGCGGCCCCCTCACCCAGCAACAGCTGCTGCTGCACCATAACAAGGAGACCATCGAGAGCACTCTCCTGCAGCGCGTCAAGGAAAAAATAGACGCCCAGCTGGCCGCCAAGGGCATCGAAGGCATCATCACCCTCTTTCCTGACCTGACATCCCTCGACCTGCTGCTGGACCTGGTGTACATCATCGACAACAGCGGCGAGTGGGCGGCGTGGGAGCCCATCATCAGAGTGGCCAAGCATCAGGGGCGGGGAGGCGTGACGTTGCCGATAGAGCTGAGCAGTGCTGATGTGGAGGGGGTGGGCAGCCGGGCGGTCTTCGACGGGCGGTGTGAGGCGCTGCGGCAGCTCTCCCTCATCGGCCGCCACATCGGTGTGACGCTCGAGCGCCGCAGCAATGGCGAGGAGCGGCTGGGTAGGGCGCTGCTGGTCATTCGCCCTCTGCAGACGCTGCCGGCCGACCATCCCTTCCGCAATGGATACGACGAGGCCAACCCCGTGTGTGAGTTTCTAGGTGAGGGAGGGGGGCAGAGCTATGGGCAATGGATCATTTAGTTGTGCGCGTGTGTTTGTTTGCAGGTGATGTCTATGCTTCAGTTCGCGACGCTGTGTTGGATGAGTGAGAAAAATGAGCAGAGTGACACACACGGCCACATTGGCTGCACCGCTCTGCCATGATGTGTCTGACCAGGATGCGTCATAGAGGGTCGCCGGTCGCGGTCCAGTATGTCAACCCGGACAACGACGCCCCACGCTACAACCGACTGGTCAGCCACACAGCCCAACACGATTACCTCACCAGCTGCCCCACTCACTCATTGTCAAATCTGCCTTTCTCTTCAGCGGCACCTGACCATCCAGCAGCCGCCCATCTGGGGCCGCCACACCATCAGCACGGGCCATAGGGTGGGAGAAGGACTCTTCCACCGCATGATAGTGCTCCATGGCGACCAACCAGGACAGACATTCGAGACCCACATCACCATCATCATCGGCAGCAACCCCACCTTTGCCGATGCCAGCCTCTACACGACAGAGCGACCGGTGGATGGCAAGAAGGGAGCCGCCAGGTTCCCCCAGACAGTGAAGGCGGTGCGTGAGGTGATGGGGCCCGATGCAGAGAGGGTGTTCCGCAACTGGCTGGACATAGCCCTAGACTGACTGATTCATCTTTCAACTCTCGAGTGTACAGAGAGCCTCCCTGTCGGTCTGGCCATTGCCGCAGGTGTGTTAGAGAGACTGACTGACTGCTTTGTTGGTGGACGGTGTGTGTGCGTCATGGCGCGGAGCGGCGGCGTGTTTGAGTGGGGTGACAGACTGCCTGTGTGTGTGGCTGGAGGGTGTATGACGAGCTAAATGGGATTCTTATCACACACATAATTCACCAACACCCAACACACACACATAACCCATTCGTCTGTTCACACATCGCCAGACGCCGAAGTAATAGGAAGGGCCTCACATGCCCACACAAGATAAATCACACAGATACGTCTATCTCTCCATCTCAACACACACACACACACACACACGTGGTGGATACCAACGACGGCCAATGGATGTCACACCAAAGCGCGCCAGCCAAGCTGTACAGACAGCCGACAGCCGGCCGGCCATGCCGCCCACAGCTGCACCCCTGCTCCCCATGTGTGTGTGTGTCTATTGTACACAGCAGCATTGGGGCCTCTTCACCAGCACCTTGCTCTTGATGCCCCGCGACTCTGACAGACACACAGACAGACAGCCAGACAGACAGCCAGACAGACACCCAAATGTGCCTTCAAGGACCTTCGGCTGCTGTGGGTCCGTTCTCTTCGTACCGGCGTGATTGTGCAGCACAGACCGGACTCTATCGTTGGAGGCCAAGTGGAGAGCCCGCCTGCACACCACACCACACACACGTCACACAGCAACACCCAGGTGTTGACCTGCGCTCGTAGTTTTGTACCGAAGGAGGGCCGTGTTATTGCTGTTTGTGGTGGTGCTGGCCGGTGCTTGCTGCAGCAGCAGAGACACCACATCAGCATGGCCCCACTGCACACACACACACACACACACACACACAATCGTGTACGAGTACATGACTCTCTCTCTCTCTCTCTCTCTCTCTCACCTTGGCAGCTGTCTCCAGAGGATACTCAGATGACTGCAGGAACGCAGTGCAGCAGACACAATCCCACACACACGTGTCTGCAGGTGTGTGCGTACGTTCTTTGAGAGGATGGACGCGTCGGCTCCATGCTCCAGCAGACAGGTGCACATGGCCACATCACCATTCTGCACACACACACACGCAATGCAATGGACTAGCAGAGGCGGGAGAGCTGTGTGTGCTCACCTGTGCGGCCACGTGCAGCTGTGTGTAGCCGAACTGGTTGTGGGCGTTGATCGTCGACGACCGACTAGTGCCCTGCGACAACGAGGAATGGATGCGTTGACGGATGGATTATGCACTCGTGCAGGCCTCGCCCACTTACGTCGAAGACCTTCCTTGAGGGGTCGTTTTTGTAGATCTGCTGCCACTCCCCGACGTGGCCCTTGCTGGCCTGCGTGTGGGTATGCACACCAAACACCGCCCATGCACCCAGACGAGATGGGCACGTTTGTGTCACTGATGTGATGCGCTTACGGCGTCAAACAGCCTCTGCTGCAGCCGATGGTGGTGCAGGGCCTCTTGGAAGGTGCTCTGGATGCATGGAAGGAGATTCTCACACAGCTCTTATGCACACGGAGGGGCAGTGTTGCTGCCCATGAGTGAGTACCATTCTCGGTTCTGCTTGCTGCAGGTAGTCGCTCTGCTGTGTCGCCCCGGATGGGTGCTCGTCCACCAAGTCATTCTGTGTAGACGAACACACACACACACACACACACACACACACGAGCGTGTGCAGATCGATTAGATAAATGGTGCGCCACTCACTCACCAGGTCGTTGACGACGTGTATCTCGGGGCGCTTGAGCCGCTCCACAGCAGCAGCAGCCCATCGCAGCTGACGCCAACTGCACCAAACAGCCCCACACCAATGAGAGATACAAGCACGTGTGTGTTTGCAGCAGAGAGCAGACTGACCGACCGACCGTCTGTTCGCTCTGGATTTCGCCGGGACGCTGAGCGATCGCGCGATGGAGGGGAGGGAGACCGGGGTGGGGCCTTTACTCAGACAGCACCACATACCACCACACACGTGTGTGTAATGAATGCACTTCAATATGCGTGTGTGCAGCAATGCGTACGTCTCTTCTGTGAGTGTGCCGGCGACGCAGAGGGCGGTGGTCCGCGCAGACGGAAGGCTGACACACACACACACACAGAGCCATGCACAAGGGGCGGGTGTGCATGAGTGTCGGAGTGTGCTGTCTGTGTCATACGTGTCCGTTTGCGGCCAAAAGAGCGCACTCGCTTGTCGTTCGAGCCCTGTCAACCCATCCCTCCATCCATCTGTGTGTGTCTGTGTCTGTGCGCGTCTGAAGGTCTCTGCGGCCTACGTGTTCCTGGTCCGAGTCGCTGCTCTTGGTGTCCAAGTCCGCCAGATCGTCCAGATCTATAGGCTCGCTGCGCGTCCGCACCTGCACGATGCATTGCACATGACACAACAGCCACACACAGGTGTGTTGAACAGGCTCACGATAGTGGCTGGCGAGCCCATCGTGTTGACCATGTCGCTGTCATGATGGTGGTTAGCGCTGTCGGCGTTTGCGCTGCTGGCCGCCCGCCGTCGGGTCGTCTGTGTGCTGCCCGTGGCCATCCGCTCACAACACGCCGTCTGCACACACACACACACACACAGATGGAAACAAAGATTCCATTCTGCTGTCCTCGCCGACCGACCTCATTCCGCTTGATGAATCGGTCGTATCGCTCGCTGGTCTCCATTGTGACGATGGCAGACAGACAGGGAGATATGATATAGACACAGCCAGCGCAGTGGCGAGATGATAGCGCCCGGAGCCGGACAAGCACTGCTGGCGTCAGATCTGCGCCCTGCCTTGTCAGATGCACGACAGCAATGAAGGGAAATGCGTGTTTTCAGCGTTGGATCTCTCCTCTCACGCCTTTGTGATCTGACCCAAAACCCCTGACCCCACATACCCTAACCCCAGCTGCGCCGTGCAGTGCACTCGCCCGGCAGGCGCCCTGGTGTCATTCCATATGTGTGGCCGGGTTCCAGGAATCAATCGCTGGTTGGAGAAAGAGATGCAGAACTGCACTGACGGAAGTCATTTTCTGGATCCGTCCGTATTTGTGTATGAGCGTTCCAACCCACCAACACGCACAGCTCACGCCACACGCACACACACACGTGAACATTACATGGAGGTATGCACAGAGATAGATGTGTCCGTCCGTCCGTCCGTCCGTCCGTCCAACCAGCTGGCCGGCTCGGCTATCCACAGCGGTCGATCGATCGACCTTCCTCACTCACTCACTCAGTCAGTCACGTTGTTTGCAAAAGGGGCAGGGCAACCACCACCCACCCTAGCTACACATATATGCATGCCAGAGGCACCATCCATTGCCCGCCCCAAGCTTGCAACCTCTCCGCTGCCTGCAGCCCCTCGGTCCCTCCCTCCCTCCCTCCGACCGACCGACCGACAGACAGATGAACTCACTCAGTCACTCCAGCAGGTCAGGTGCACGACTGCAGGCAGGCAGGCAGACCACACACACACGCACACCACACAGACCGCATTATGTACTGTCAGTAATGGTCTAATTAATCTATCGGCCCCTGCCTGTACGTACGTACCTAGTGGAGGTTCATGTTGAGGTATTTGTGGTTGGTCGTGACGGTGACGGTGAGGCCGGGCAGGGCGGCCGCCTGCCGGATGCGGCGGATGTACTCGGCGTACTTGTCCGAGTGCTGGCCGTCCAGCACACGGTTGAGGTCAGCCAGAGAGCCCACCCGGCACCGCGACACGTCCTCGCCCACCATGCGAACCTGAATCAATGAAATGATAGACCCAGCACAGCCAACACAGACAAACAGACCAGGGAGGGAGGGAGGGAGGGAGGGAACCACCCAATCAAGCATCAGACAGATCACTGAGTGAGTACTGTCCGCACCTCAGCGTCGAATCCGTCGTGGGCTGTTGTGTCGGTGACGGTCACTACAATGAAGGGCGCTAGGCACAGCACAAAGTACTCACTCGGCGGCCGCTGGGGCGGCGTGTTGGGCTCTTGCACGCCGCACCGATGCACCCCCGCGAGCTGCCCCCCCAGCCCCCCCTGCCAGTTGGCCAGCATGTCCTTGGCGGCCTGCACGTCGGCCGGCGTGCCCTAAACCCTAAACCCTAAAGTTATTTCATCAGCAAGATCGATTTGAAGGCTTGATGTGGCGGTGCTTGTGTCCTGGCCGGCCGTCTCTCTGCGTGGCTGGCCACACCTGTGAGAGAGTGAGTGTGTGACTGTGTGTAGGTAGGTGAAGAGGAGTCCTTAAATCTCAGCTGACTGACTGACTGGCCATCCGTCTGTCTGTCTGTCTCTCCGTCTGTCCGAGGCACCCATGGCACGGCACATGCATACAAATAATAATACCAGCACACGCAGTCAGTCAATGACACCAACCATGTCAGTGGGGCAGGGCACACCGTACGAGGGAGGCATGGGCGCCTCAGGCTCACTCACTTACTTTGTTTTTCTGTTTGTTTGGGGTCAGACGTACGGGGAACACGACACGCGTAGAGACGCGAAGACACTAAGCGTACAGACAGACAGACGTGACGTACACACACATGGTACGGATGACGACAGACAGACAGCCAGACAGCCAGACAGCGGGGGAGGGAGAGGTGGGACGGGAGGGAGGGTTCACACCCACCCACACAGATCGATACATACGTACATACGCACATGTACGTACGTACAGGGGAGATACCGATCGATCGATGGATCGGTACATACGGATACATACATACGTGTAGATAAAAATGCACAACACACACCCTTGAGGAACTGACTCACTCGGTCAATGTCCGGCAGCAGACAGACAGACTGACAGACGGCTTCGTGGCGTGCGTGGACACACGCGCCGCCTCGCTGCTGTCTGTCTGTCTGTCTGTCTGTGTGTCTCTCGGTGCGCTCCTGCAGACACAGAGGGGGGGTTTTGTGGCAAGTGTGTTCGTTGGCTCGTTTGTTTGTACGTGTGTAAAGCTGGATGGATGGCCAGCCGGCAATGAGTGTCAGAAGTCCTTGTCCCAATCGTACTCGGCCTGGTGACACAGACAGGATGTGTGAGAGACGCACGTTTGTCTCTCTCTCTCTCTCTCTCTCTCTGCGCTTCTCTGTGTGTGGGCGCGTGTCTACCTCTAGCTCGATGTCGCCATCGTCCTCTTCCTCTTCGGCACCCTACACACATACACACACAAACGATGACACCAAGCACCCATGGCACCATGTTATGTCGTGGAATCCTTACCACTCCCATTTCGGCGTCCTCCGCGTACACCTCTCCCTTGGCTGCATAGACACACCACACACACAGAGGCAGCCATGGACACGTTCACACGGGCCGTATGGGTGTCGCTGGTTGTGTGTGGTTGTGGTTGTGTGCATAGCTACGTATGAGCGGGGGTTTGTACATGCGCCCCAACAGCTTGTCCCAGTCAAAGTCCTGTCCACACACAGACAGACATCGGTTTCTATGCGCTTCCTTCCGTCGTGTGTGTGGGTATGTGTGTGTGTGTGTGTGTGTGTGAGTGCCTTGAAGAAGGCGTGTTCCTTGATGTCCTTGTAGCCGTTGATCGAACAGCCGATCCGCACCTGCACACAGACGGACCCACACAGACAGTGAGTGTCATATGTGTGTGTGTGTCTATGTGTGGATGTGGTGTGTACTTCTGGGAGTCTGCAGAGCAGTCTCTTCATGAGGTTGACGGCGTCCTGGTCCGTCACATACGGCGGGATCATCAGCTTCCCAGTCCTGCAGACACACACACAATGATCCGATCCACACCACAGAGCGAGGGAGAGAGGGAGAGAGAGGTATATGTGCTGTGCATGTCTTATGCTCATGGTGCGGCGTACAGGATGTCTCGGAATATCTCCAGCTGGTCTTCCGCGTCGTTGCCAAAAGGCAGTGGGCCACACCTGCACACACACCACATCAACACCAACACAAACAATATGGAGGCCGCTGCGCTGCGTGTGCATGTGTGTGTATGGCGTGTGCGTGTGGTTACATGAACTCGAAGAGGCAGACGCCGAAGGCCCAATGGTCGGCCGTGAGAGTGTAGCCCTTGCCAAGGATCACCTCGGGCGCCATGTAATGCGGTGTGCCCTGACAGGACACACACAGAGACGACACACATACGGGGATGGGTGCATTTGTGTGTGTCTTTTGTTGGTGTGTTGACGTACCACGAGAGTGTAAGATCTGTCGACCATCTTCTTGGCGCAGCCGAAGTCGATCAGCTTGATGTACCTGAGACCCACACCAAACACCACACACAAAGGTGTGCATCACTTTTATGTGTGTGGTGGGAAGTGGCCACACGTACCCTTGGTTGTCCAGCAGCACGTTCTCTGGCTTCAGATCCCTGTAAGCCTGCACACACCACACACAACAGACACACACTCACACACACACACGTCCATGCCGCCCTCTCTCTTTGGATGGACGCGGTGTGCGTATTTACGATGTTTCTTTCGTGGAGGTACTCGATCGCCAGGATCATGCTCGCCAAGTAGAACTGGGCCTGCGTGTCAGCAACACACACACACACACACACACACGTGTCCAGCCACCACATGCGTACGGACCCCACCTGGTCTCTTGTGAGAAGGCCCAGCTTCCGTATGGCGTCTGCACACACACACACACACACACACGATGAAACTCATGTTTGCAGACACACCTGAGGGACGCTCTCTCTCTCTCTCTCTCCCTCTTTCCCTCTCTCTCTCTGTGTGTGTCTGCCTGTGTGTGTGTACCGTAGAGCTCGCCGCCGGTGACCAGCTCCGTTAAGAAATACAGGTAGTTCCTGCACACAACATACACACAATATCGCGCTCGTGTGTTTGTGTGCCTGCTTGCCTCCGTACCTGTCTTTGAATGTGCGGACGAGCTTGACGATGAAGGGGTGGTCGTTCTGCACACAGCACACGGACACACACCATTCACACACATGACAGAGACGCGTGTGCGTGTGTCGGTATTGTGTTGTGTTAAAAGGTAGATACCTCAGCCATGATCTCGCGCTCGAGCCTGATATGCTGCAGCCAGCACGATGGACACCAGCCCACTCCCACACACACAGGGTGTATGTGTGTGTGTGTGTGTGTATGTGTGTATGTGTGTGTGATGGCTGAGTGACGGACCTCTTGCTGCTGCAGCTGGAGCACCGTCTTGCGCTTCACACACCTGCACACACCGAGGTCGGTGTGGGTGTCTGTCTGCACGTGTGTGTGGTGGGTCGTTTGTGAGTACTTGAGTGCGAATCTGGTGCCAGATGTGTGCTTCATGAGCTTGACGGTGCCGAACGTGCCCCTACACACACACACACAGAGACAGAGAGAGAGTGGGTGTGCAAGCACGTGACGGCATGTATATGAATCTACGCGTGTACACCTGCCGACGGTTCTGGTGGTCACCAGGTCCTCGAAGCGAATCTTGGTGTCCTGCACAACACGGTCACACACACATATAGAGATGCACTCCCTGTGTCCGTCGGCACACTTCCCGACCTGTAACCGAATCCGGTCCTCCAAGTGCTCAATCATGGGCCTGCATATACACATGTGTGGGTGCCATTCACATCACACGTCCGTCCGTCCACCATGCACCTTTCACGTACCCCTGGACCAGCTCCTTGAAGACGGTCTTGTCCACAAGCCAGAGCTCAACATCCTACCGACACACACACAACCGACCAAATCAACACGTGTGCACTCTCAGAGAGGAAAGGTGTGATCTCACCCCTCTGGCGGTGACACTCGCCGTTCTGCCCTCGTTGAAGAGCAGAGCACGCTCGCCGAAGTAGTCATTCTGCACACACACATGCACACATACACTCGCGCATCCGCTTGTGCGTGTGTGTGTGTGTGTGATTGTGCTGGCCCACCGAACCGACCTTGCCGCAGGTCCGTATCTGTTTTCCGCCGAGAGTGATGGCGACCTCGCCGCTCTTGATGATGTAAAACGTGGTGCCGATCTCACCCTGGCGCACTATCACCTCGCCATTCTAGACACACACACACAGATGGACGGTTACTGAAACATGTGTCTGTGTGTGTGGGGGGGGGGGGGGGGGG